CCAGGAAAGAAAATAATTCAAAACGGCCACCCTCGAATGTAGGCCACGAGCACGATCGAACATCATCATTGTCATCTCCGTCGGGTCTTGAATCGTGATAACACGTTGCCCATCTGGCGAACACATCGAATTTGTCAGTTTCGGTGCCAAAAACGAGTCACAGAACAAGTGTGAACCCGAAAGTCAACATTAATGTAATATTATCATAGTAAAATAATTGTACGATATTCACCTTTCGACAACGACGACGACGACGACGACGACGGCGGTGACGAATCCCCGCGTCCTTTCGTTCTTTTCGAGAATGCGAAATGTAAATACCACTCTGTCGTCTACGATACGACGGCGAACAACGCGTCGGCTGCGACGGCGCCCCTTTTTTTGGTCTTATCTATCGTCGTTTTTCTGCATTCGTGTCATACTGTCATGAAAACATTCGGCCGCCGCGTATTATTATATTTTTATTACCTCTTACACATACGCGCGCGCACGCACGCACACACACACACACATGCGCATTATATCATAGATATGTCCCGACGTGTCCAGATAGATATTATAATAGTAACGATATTTACAATAATATATTATTACGTGACGGGTAGACGGGCTGCTACTGCGGTACTCGATAATTGATAATACCTACCGCCGTCACCGTCGTTTATAATGTATTGCGTCGACGGCGGCGTTTAATGGGTTTTTGATTTGGAAAAATGTATCTAACAGGTGTGAACGTGATACCTTTGTTTTTCTCACTGCTGTGCTCGAGAGTGAGTCGCGGCTGCGGGCCTACATGGGAATTGCGGAACAGTTCGGGCGAGCGACTGACCCCGCCCCCCGGGTAGCGCACGTCGACGAACGACCCGTTCAGCGTTATGTACACTGACAACTACTACTACTTACTACTACTACTACTACTACTACAACAACAACTATTACTACCACTATTACTTCTACTACTGTTACTACAACTACTGCTACTAATCCTTTACACGTTTACTACTAATCTACACTATTAGTTATTACTTATTACTTATTACATAGTAGTTACTGTAAATTATAATAGTGTTACTACTGTTCAGTGTTAACCAGTTACTACACATACATACGTGATACGTCGTACACTCGTATACAGTACTTGCCTGCTCAGTAGGTAATTTTATAATTTATAGTTTGTTCTTAATTTTATTATTAATCGATGATATAACCGGATCTACTGCAGACTCCAATTACCAATGTCCAATACTCCAATACGGGCAATAACATTAGGGGATATCCCGAGTGTGACCTCAGTCCACGTGCAAGAAAATTTCATGCATCGAAGACTGCAATATAAATCAATTTCGAAATAAAAAAATATCAAGACTAGATTTTGTCAGAAGAATGACATTTAAACACCAGCCTATACAGATCTAATAAAAAAAAATTAATAACATTTTTCTTGAATAAATAATAATTAGTAGGTACCCTCATCCAAATTCAAGGGTGTAATGCTAAGATAAAAGATATTATCGTAAATAAGAAACAAAAATATTTATGAAGTGTAATTCTGCAGTTCACCTCCCTGTGAAGCACTCCGGGTACCTAACTCTAAAAAAAACTGGGACGCACTAGGGCTATGTCAAAAATATGGCTTTTTTTTGGGATGCACTCGGGTGATACCTTATTTCAGACGCACTCGGAACACTAAAAAGAGTAATTTTGGGACACACTAAAGAAACTTCCTAACATCACGCTCGAACAAAATTTAAAAAAATATATTGTTGATAACAATACAATAAATACGAGTATACCAATACTATTACAGTAAATTAAGTAAAACAATATGATAGAATGTTTTCAATATCGCAATAAGAATTTATTATAAACGTATTAAAAATAGTATGATGTAACGTCAGCAACTATTGAAATAAGTTTTTAAAAAAATTAAAAGTTATAAAAATTAAAACTAGAATTTATTCACAATAAATCAATTTTTAAGATAGAAAAAAACTTTGTTAGTTATTTAAAAAAAAATGTAATTCAAATTCAAACTTAAAAATTAAAAATACCATTCAAAAAAATTATTGCTGTGCATTTACGGAATTTATTTTTAAAAATATGTGGATTATTAAGTCCTTTACATAGTAAAAAAGCCAGAATTTAATTCATGATCGTGAGTTCGTAATATTTTGTATTAACTTTATCGTTAAACACGTTACATAATAAATAACGATCATACAATTATTGTGGCATAATATTATGTCACATAGTAAATACTTTACACAGACACGGGGCTTCGCAAATCGAAGAGCCAGGCGTCGACTTTGTAATTAGGTGTCCACCATTCACCGTTAATTTAAAAGTATTCCAGAGTATAAAATATAATGAAAACATAGACATTATACGTCTATTTAAAATATATTTTTGTATACATAAATACACATCAATGTTCCTTAAAAACCACTATATACAGTTTATTACCTATATTTACTACATTATATAGTTTTTGCATCTCTACGTATAAAATACGCGTATTCGGTGGCATCGCTCGGTAGATATTATAGCCTATAGGCACTTAATTACAAATTTGTACGCCTTTATAAGCGAGAACGATACAATGTCATTTCGACAATGATGTTGTTTTTTTTTTTTAATTTCAATAAATCTTTGCAAATTAATTACCTAAGTATTAAAGTGGTACGTTTACTGAGATTACAAATAAATGTAATAACTAATAAACTACGTCTGCGATTCACAGTATATTTGGCGGTAATGTGACTGATGAGAATTCAAATGACAGAGTAAATTAAGTTTTATTTGTTTTTGTTATTAGAGACTATAGATACAAGATTTTTGTATGATTAAGTTTTTTAATGGAAAAACATCATTAACTAAAAACTTTAAATTACAATTTTTAAATCATATAACCTACTTATAAAAAAGTTTTCGTATTTTTAACAACAATTATTTTTTCACATAATTCTTTATTTAATAATCTGACAATTTGAATGTTTATATAAAACAATAATAAACAACAAAGGAATATAACAGGATCAGTGGCGTATTGACGAGGGGTTTAGGGGTTTAACCTCCCATAAGTAAAACATGTTTAATGATTTCTTTTATGGAATATTACAATTAACAAAAGTTTTTTATCCACATATATGGATATAAATGGTAACTTCTCCTCCCATAAACGAATTTTGCGTACGCCTCTGGACAGAATTGAGAGACCTCTCAAAAGTCTCGTCAGGCGATATCTATTTACAAAATAGTCGGCTAATTTTCGTGATTTTAACAAAAAATTTTAATATCTAATGCTTTTAAATTTTTTTTGGATTTACGCTCAACTCTTTTTTTATTTCATTTTTTATTTCTTAGTAACAATTTATAAGAAACCTTCTATTAAATGTTTAAGCTTTATTCATTGTATAAAGTTACGATTGAACGAAAAAAAAATTATAGACATTTATGGGAAATAAACTAAAAATCTATGACTAGTTAAAAAAGATTCAAATTATTTTGAAATATATTTAACATTTATAAAAGGTGTTAATAAAATCACTTGTAAAAATTCTAAGTTTCTATACGGTTATTGAATAATAGTGCAAATATTGCAAAATAAAGAAATCATTTTGTTTAGACTGGTTTAGAATTTTTCGCTTTTCCCTATAATTAAGAAAATTATTTGGAATTTTTTGCTTTTGACCCACCAAAATACTAACTAGATTTAATTTATAACCAAAATCATTCCCAAAGTTGAAAATCGAAACATTTTTATTGCCCCAAAAGGTAATGACGAACACAAAAGAAATTACATATCATTGTAAAATCAATTGATATATTCATCGCTCTGCCAGCCAGAATCTAAAAATACATTAAAATAAAATAAATTGGTTAGGTTAACCACGGTTACAATAGAAACTCTCAATCTTTGTTATAATCATTATGAAAATTTTCCATCGATATTCTATAGTTGGTAGCATAGTAGACTACTATATTTACATTGTATACACTATACAGCTGTTTAAGTAAATGCGTCAGACATTGAGCTATTTCGAGAACTTCAACTAATTACTAAAGGTATACCCGATCTTTATCGTACGTATTCAATTTATGTAATATAATATACCTATAGACATATATAGCACATACAGGTAATATTGAATAGGTGCTAGCACGTTCGGGTAGGTGTTTAATAGTAAATTGAATTAATTTCTAATATAATAATGTACATTATCATTGATTATAAGTACTAGTAAATAGTATTTATAATCAATGATATTATGTATTAATATACTTAAATAAGTAAAAAATGTAAAAATGATTAAGTATCCATAAGACCATAATCCATTATATTGTGATAAAAACAACCATCAGGTGTCAAATATCAGTGAAATATCCATATTTCATTTTATAATTGAAAAACAATTTAAATTATTGTAAGAATTATCTTTTTGCAGTATGTATGTATTTACTAGATATACATATACATGGTAAATATAAGACTAAATAACCTATATTGCAGTATATTAGAGACTGATGTGTGTACTTACTTTATTGTTTTCATAAATAGTAAATAAATATAAATAAATAAATCTATTTTTTGTTTAATCTACATATATTATTTTTAAGAGTAGATTACCTAATTGTATATACTTTTTAGCTACAATCTATACATTGTTTAGCAAAAATCATAAATCATTTTCAGTCCACTTCCGCTTTCGTATTCGATTTAGCATATTACTTAATATAAATCAATTTGTAATTGGAAGTAATACTATCTTTGTTTCCACCCTGTCACTCAGATCTTATACTTATCTACTAAGTATTCGGTCTATGTTCCTATCTCAGTTGAGTTACCATTTGAAAAAAATGTTTATATAAATAATTATTGCATCTTCTGTAATAGAACCAAAACTTGCTTATACTATTATTATATTATATTTTATGTATTTAGATTTGCTTATAATTTATTTAATCGTATTGCGAATTTAAAAACTATGTATGTATATTCGTCGAAAATTTTAAATTGAGTTTAGGCTTCTAAAACCTACTTACGTGCGAAACATTTATCTACGTTCTAAACATTATAAACAGACGTGGATACAATGGTTTATGCGCAGATCACTACTTTAATGGATATTCACATTTTCTTATGAGTGGTTCATGTAAGTACTTGTTTAATTCAATAATTAAAGCTGCTGTTGGATTAATTAAAGTTGCCAATGTGTGAATATTTTCGTCACAGTAATAATGAAGAAGAAAATGTATAAATGTGTTATCATTCCTATTGTTGATGCAATTTGCAATTGGATTATCTGTTCCTGGCAAAGTTATTTAACAAACTTTATTTTTAATCGGTCAATTGCAACTTTCAATTTTCGTGGATATAATCCATTAAATACAATTTTTTTAAACCTTGGATCAAGAAGAGTCGCCTGTGTTACAATACCGTTCTTTTCATAACCTGAAAAATTAGAATTTATTAAATTTAATGATCTCAACTATATTGTGATTTGTAAGCAAATATTTTATGATAAATCCACTCTTATCACTAACCATTAACTCCACGTGCCAGTCCTCACGCAATTTTCAGGCTTATACAGCTGAACAGACTTCGTGACTCAGTTTTTAGAACTTCCCTAATCTCAGGTTCAAAATTTCCCTGATAATCAATTTTTTCCCTGTGTATCAAAAAAAATCCGAAAACATTCCAATGAATAATTGCTATAACTGTTTTTAAAATGAGGAACAAATCTAGTTTAGCACCTTCACGAAATTTCAATTTTTTTTTTTTGGAAACTTATGTATTTTAACGTTTTAAAAATAATGGTGTCAAAATTTTTTTCCAGAAATCATTAGTTTTTGAGTAAAAAATATATATGGTTATTTTCAAAGGAAATTAGGGGACAGCGTTGCCACTCGCTCGCTGCGCTCGCTCGGACATTCAAAACGAAAATATCCCTTGATTTGCTATGCAACACTACCTAAGGTAGGTCACAGGGCTAAAAAATGATGCCAATAATTATGCTAACAATGGCCAAAAATTTAGCCAATTACTTGATAATGACGTAAAATACAAAAGCTATGTATTTTAATGTTTTAAAAATAAATAGTATTCAACATTTTTATTACCTATATACGAGAATGTATTATAGTCTATAGATATGTTTAGGTACGAGTGCTACGACACGTATTATTACGTATTATATTATTATTTAACCTGTATTTTATAATATTAAAGTAATAATATATTATTACAACTATGCGTTTTGCGCATGCGTAAGACACCAAAAATCGTGAACTTATATGGCTATAACTTTAAAACTAATGATTTCCGGAAATAACTTTTGGCACTATAATTTTTAAAACGCTAAAATACATAGGTTTCGAAAAAAAAAAATCAAAATTTCGAGGGGGTGCTAAACTAGATTTATACCAAAAATAGTTTCAGGACTTATTATTTTTAAGTGCTTCAATGGTTGAAGTAGTTTAAATGGAAATCGTTGGTAAACTTATTTTGCTGCCTCTACATAAAAACATTGACACCTTAATTTAAAGTTTTGTATCATACCATCTGTTAACTTATTTTCAGCCAAAATTAGGGTTATTGAAACCATAACCTTACCACCTAGATATATATCTTTTAAATCTAAAAAGAATTCAGGGTTTCTATATTGTACTTCGTTAACATCTTTTTTATAAATATAATCTTTTTTCATGTAGCAATTGAGTATTTCTTTGTACAAAAATCCAATTTCATTATAAACTACATGTATTTTAACAGTTGTTGATTCCATTTCAATATTAAGATCTATGAAAAATGGTAGAACAAAATCAAGAAATTCAAAATATAATAATATTAAGGGATTGGTTAATTTATCTAAAATTATTTTTGCATTTTCTAACCCATCGTTTAATGTTGCAGATGTAAAGTACAACTTTAAAGCTGGGTATTGTGATATTATTCGTTTCACAAACAAATGTAATGAAAGCCATTTTGTCTGGGCTGGATGAAGTAGTTCAAGAGGTTTTAAATTTAAGAACTGTTGAAATTCTTTGTATTCACATTACCTTTTTGGGTTGTTACTAATATAATTGTAGATATCTCGAGCTACATCTTCCACATACTTAGGCAATTTCATGCAAGCATAGGATGCACATAGGTGGAATGAGTGGTAGATACACTTAAACACAAAAAGATTTGGAATATCTTTCTTCAATTTTGTGGCTAGGGAATTATGTGAACCCATCATGTTATTTGCCTCATTACTTACATATCCAATCATATTCTTTTTATAAGGTATATTATTTTCATCAAAAAAATTTAAAACATGGTCATACAATGCTTGTGATGTAGCACTATTCACTTCAATTAAGGTAATAAATCTATTCATTATATAAAAAGGTGATTGAACATTTGAACTATACGGACAACTAGAGCCAAGTGCTTAATTGAAGATCTGTCGGTGCTTTCATCTAAAATTATTGAAAACTGACGGGATTTGAGGTCATTCATAAGGTTATCATCACTTACGGCAGCTACAACATTAGTTATGATTGATTTGCACTTATTATCACCACATTTCAAATTGTGTGCAATTTTCGAATCAGGACAAATTTTATTTATGAGCTTCGGTAAATGGTTCATGATAGAGTATGGTAAATTATGTTCAGGTATGAACAATGACAGTTGCAGTAGTTCAGCATATTTCACCTATAATTATACAATTTTTATGATGTATTTGGAATACTATTTTTCAAGAGTATTTGAGTATTTATTAGTACATACTTCATTTTCCGATTTACTGTGATCTGTTAACAATTTACTTATACTAGATTGATTTTTAACGCTTTCCACATTTTTTATATGTTTTTTGTCAAGGAAATGCTTTTAAATTTCTGATTTATCAGCTACTCCATCTACTAAACATGCTTTGCAATGAAAAAATATATTCCCTAAAAAAAATTTATAATGAATGCCTAAATAGGTATTTGATTAAAATATATAGGTATAAAAAAGTAAATTTTTAAAATATTACCTTTTTTGTTCGCTGAAAGCCATCCTTTAAATGAGGCAACTGCCTCCCATTCAACACAATATTTTTGTTTATAAGACAATTTAATTTTTTTAGGTGGTGTTAGAGGATTATCGACATCCGAGTTCGACATAATGAATAATAAAAAATAAAAAACAACAAAAAACAAACTACCAAGTACCTGAAAATTCACAACAGTACGAGACACGTAGAGCGTTGAGTGCTTGTTGGCTAATGACGACAAAACGTATTCGTATTTCGTCCATATTACAATTTATCATTAAATTATAATTTTATATTATTCTAAAAGTGTTCCACAAGGAGCCGCACAAAATTAATTTTTCTCCATTAGCTAATGAAATTAAAATTCTATATTTAGTTATTTTTAATTTTCATGGACTGTTATAAACTCATAAATCATTATTACTTCAATTGTTTTTTCTGCTTAAGTATTTCATTTATAGTAAATTATACTATGGGTACATGGGTACATATACTATATGGGTTTCCGAATAATTCTAAATTAGACCTGATGTATATTTTATTTTCTTATATTTTGTTTTTGTCATTAATGAAATGACTGCTCAGTGCTCACAGTCTTCACCTGTAACCTGACCTGTGATTAATAAAATTAATTAATATGTATGTATAGTATACATTGTATACATTATACTCGTACTACACTAATCACATCAACTGATTGTGCCCCTTCGGTATAGATTGCTTATTTCAAATAAAGAAAAAAAACCAACCAGCTTAAAAATCTAAAAACTCCCTAGAACCAACAGTTTCTAAAAGAAAATTCCTCATTTCCCTAATAAGGTCAGAATTCCCTAAAACTAGGGAAATTTCCCTAAAGTTACGAAGACTGCAGCTGAATACAATATTATAATGAATGAATATAATATTCATTCGGATGATAAGACGCTGATTGTTACTTTATATAGCGATTAGATATTAATTCCGTCTATAACTAACGTCCTACTCCCAATCTGAACGTCAGATAGCACTGCGGTATTGAAAATATGTAATAGCGTTGATTATAAAATGAATACCATAAGTAAATAAGTAATGTTAGTATTTAACATAGTGCTATAGCGCTTATAATTAATAATAATAGTCTAGAATCTAAAACATGTCAATAGTCAAAAGAAAATTCGTAAAATGAAAAAATTGTTATATTATGTCTATTATGCTGGTTATAAGCTTATAATTTATAAATCATTAGTGGGCAGATAGTAAAGATAAAGAATAATTATATCAATCTCAGAATTTATCCAACAGTTAATAATTCAAAAAGGCTCCATCACCTACGGCTAAACTCTTTAAGCTCTTAAATTACCTCAAGTTATAATAATTTATTATTATAAATACAAATAAGGTACGTTACCAAAATTATAATATGTAGCATACTACCTTTTATGTTTTAACAACAAGATATCAAAAATCGTTTAAGAAAGTGAAGTTATTTTATTATATTATACTGTATTATATTTTGCAATAATAAAAAATTAACTTAAAATGCTTGTAAAAAATTAATGTGATTTTCCAGTAAACTTGTATTAGTTGTATTTTTTATTATGGGATAACTATAATGGTATTATATCAAAACGAAATAGATTTTAATGAATACTGATTTTGCAACAGTTTTTCTTTATTTTATATTCTAAACAGAGTGATGAATGAATTAAATTTATAATTATATGTTAGTAACCCATGATATTTACTATAGGTAGATATGAATATGATATAATAATATAAAATAATCGTAGTATTGCTTACTATTGCATTATTAATGCGATAAAAAAATCTAAAAACCAAAAAGAGATTTTTTACTCACGTAATAAATTTATTACTATATTTTACACTTATAAAAACAACAGGATCGGTGTTTGTTTTGTAATAAGCCGTATCACAGCCGTGCGTACGGTACACAGCATATTATATAATATGTATGTTTTTCGATTTACAATAGGTACGTTATTTAAATTGATATGCTCTGAACGCGTAATTTCGTACGCGCTATTTATACTTCAATGTATTATATCGGTACTCGATCTTCACGTCTTAATATACATCAATACATCATAATCTACTTATAAATTTATATTTATATTTTTCGTAGAAACGTTCTTGAGCTTGTGTACATTTTATAAATTATTATTATTTCATATTATTTTATAATTGATATTGAACGTAATAAATATTTTTATTAAGTAAAAAATATGTTAAGTAATTTGTCATTTTGAGGGATCATATTTTACTGAAAAAAAAAACCCGTAAGTCAATTGACTTTCCCCCCCACGTTTCTGCCTGCCACTGATGGTATTTAAATATTTTAAAATACGTTGTTTAAATGAAAACAATTTTGAAATCTTAAAGTTTTTTTAGAACGAATAACGACGATCGGAATGGATTATGATTATCGACAAGGTAATTTACCTACTGGTAAATTATAATATTATACTCGGGACAAAATTCGGAAATGACGCCACGTCATATTCATTCCAAAAAATATAATAATAGTAATAATAATTAAAAAATCGACGGGTTATAACAGCGAAAATTGCGAGTAATGTGAACAAATATAACTCAGCTGCGGTTCCCTCCCGACCATACCCCTGGTATGTGAGAAGATTTCACGGGGTAGGTACGTGAAAAAAAAATCGACTAATGGCGGAAAATATCGAATTCGTTTCGAAAATATTCAATGCGACATACGTATGTCATTAAAAATGAAAATTTGTGTCACACGCAAATTAAAACTCGACCGTCGTCGACTTATCCGCGATTAACAGATGGGGAGTATAGGTATATAGAATATGACGTGACATTTTTATTTTTTTTAAATTTTTTATTTTTAAACGTCTTTAAGAGTGGTCGTGTGAAAAAATTTAAAAACCACGAACGATGGGTACAATCCGGCGAAACATTGAACTTAGGGGTACGAAACGAAACTAATGGTCGGGGGGGGGGGACCGCTGCTGCGGCTAATAATGTCATGCGTAAGTCATAACAGGTGATGTATAAAAGAAAAAAAAAATTTGAGACGGCCGGCGAGGCGTCAACTCGACCGCGCGTACTCCCTACAGCGGACTGATGTCGTAGATCATTATTTACACAAAGGACGATGAGACGTCAAGTGCATATTATCTATTATATTTTTATCTGCGCTACGCGCGTCGGGGCGGATTTAATTGCGCTGCGCGTTCTCGTTCAGCATCATCTATCCAACACGATATACAACGAACGCGTGTGTATGCATTACGAACGCGGCGCTTGACGCATGCGATCTAAACGTAGGTACGCGTCCCGACAATATCAGTCGTGCATTTAAAGTTCGCGCGACACTATATACGCACACGCTCCGGTCATCGTTATGGTTAGCGCCGCCGCAACGTACTGTCTGCTCGCCGCGGCCGCCGTGGCCGCCGCGTCCCGGAGCGCGTCCGCGGCCCGCATACTCGGGGTGTTCCCGCATCACGGGTACAGCCATCACGCGGTGTTCCTGCCCTACCTGCGGGCGCTGGCGGACCGCGGGCACGACGTGCACGTGATCAGCAACTTCGAATCGGCGCACCCGAACATCACCGACATCAGCGTCGCCGGTTCCATGCCCATGTCCAACAACGAAGTCCCTATCCAGCACACCGCCAGGGGATTCGGCGTGGTCGGCGCGTTGAAGGACATGTTCTATCTGTACGGCTTGGCCAGGACGACGGAGGGCCTGTTCGACGTGCCGGCCGTCCGGAGTCTGCTCGACGACCGCGCCGCGTCGTTCGACTTGATCGTCGCCGAACACTTCAACACCGAGCTGTCGCTCGGTTTCGTCGCCAAGTACCGCGCGCCGTTCGTGTTGCTCAGCAGCTGTCCGCTGACGGCGTGGACCCTGCCCCTGGTCGGCCAGTCGCAACAAGCGGCGTTCAGGCCGTCCTTCTTGAGCGGCGTGCCGGCGCGCATGGACTTCGGCCAGCGGCTCACCAACGTGGTCGTGGCGGCCGCGTCCGTCGCCGCGTTTCGGCTGCTGCACCGGCCCTGGAGCCAGCGGACGCTGGAAAAACGTATGGGCCTGGACGTGTCCCTGGAAGAGTTGGCGTCCAACGTCAGTCTGGTGTTGGCCAACACGCACTGGTCCTTACACGGGGTGTCGCCCTCCGTGGCTGCTTTAAAGGAGGTCGGTGGGATGCACATCGCGCCACCTAAACGACTGCCACTCGTTAGTACCTGTAATATACTATCTGCACGTATTTTATGATATAAATAACAAAAATTAATCGACTCGTACACAGTAACGCGAAATAATATTTTTACTCGCAATCGCGCGTAGTTTTTGCGCGTTTAATGTTTGTAAATATGGCGATATACGTTACAGTATTTCCATTTTAGACAATTCCATAATCCCAAGTATCGCACGCGACCATTGATCAGATATATATATAGACTGGTAATTTAATAAATGCACGATGTAGGTATGTCTATTATTGGCTATTTGATGTATGTATATTGGAATATTACATGAACCAAATGTTAGGTTAGGTTAAGTTAGGTTTTTGTCAAATTTTTTGGATCATATATTATTCTGTACGATAAAGAGAATAATAACGCATTTATATAATATGCGTTATACTCAAGTAACTGTGAAGAATAGCATGAATTGGTATTCCTAGCTACAGTTTTTTTTCATCACTATAGATTACAAAACTATAAGTACAGCAAATATTTAAATTAATTAAGCTTAGGAAGCAAAATTGGTAACGGGTTAATAAAAATAATGATTAATGATAACTATTAAATAGTCGTTGATAGAGCTAATAAAATTGCGTAACGACGTTATAATATAATCTAGACTAAACGCAGTAATTATCTACATATATATAAAAAAGACAAGACATTTTTTCCTGATAGTAATTAATAAATAATTGAACGTTAGCTACCATTAGCTGATGTTGTTTCAATATATTTATAAACTACGTATTCTTTAAGAACTTTAAAAACTACTGTTTTATTTTTTTAGATGTAAAAAAAATATTATTTTGTTTTAAATTGCGATTTTGTGTTATATTAATGGAACATCAACGTATTGTATCTTCAAACAAATTGAATTCTATTGAATCTAAGAAAATTCTTCTTTAAAGATAACTATAAAGTGCATTCGTAGGTATAATTTTTTGCTAAAATCCTTGATTTAACATAACGGTTACAGACAAATAAGATGAAATAAGTTTTGTTAACTTAAGCGAGAAAATCCTTTATAACAAAAGTTTAGTTTCAGTTTTTTTTTATAGAACTTATTGCAAATATATGATTCTAAAATAAAAAGAAAAGTAAGAAACTGCCTCATCGTTGTACATACAATTTTGTCGAATGTGCATAGTCATTGAAAAGTATGTCACTGTAATGAATGTGAGAAATTTGAATTCAATGAAATCCATCAAATAATTGCATACAAAAAACAATTCTGAACGAAAACGGTCTGTCAGCCTATATTACTATTTACTAAGTATATTAATATATTATATGATAATATAATATACTCGTATTTATATTACTATTAAAGAAATGTATTGTACTATTAGCAATACAATAAGCTGGATTTATTTTGTCAAAAACATTGATTTTAAAAATTTAATTGTAGGTATAAAATATAATAATTTACTTTAAACATTCAAGTAACCACATATAGTTTAAATTATAATTATAATTATAGTTAAAATCGTTATAATCTTCATTTAAATATTTAATTTTGTGAGAATTTGAACTTAAAAGTTTCATAAAAAACCTCTACTTATACATTTTTTTTTAGGTTGGTTTGGTTTTATTATGAAGTATTCACGAAAAAATCTTATACTAAATTTTAAAACCCTTAGATATAAAGAATAAAATGTTTATGCATTTTAAAACAATGAAGTTTATGGAATAATTTGCAATTTCAATCGATTTCGTCAAAATTCTAACATAATAAACACTTATAAAAAATATTTTGATTATGTATTTTTCATATTTTTGAATTAGTATATGACAATTATATGAATAACTATTACATTAAATTTTCAAGGTTTTTTTATTAAATGAAAAGTTTTTTATTGACTTTTATAATAAAAATAAAAAAATAAAAAAAAATTTGAAAATGTCGATAACTAGCTTAAAAATAATCATTATACCTACCTATTTGGAAAATGTATAGAAAATCTTAATATAAATATTTGATGAAAATTTCTATCATCTAATGTTATTCGTTTCTGTGTTCGCCAAATAAAACAAAATTTATTTTATCAAATACTGGTTTCATTCATTCTCGTTTTTCCTCAATTTTTTTTTTGTTAGTTTTTTCTAGTTATTTTGAAAATTGTAAAATACAAATAAACATACACACATCATTGTAAAATGAATACATTCATTTTTCTTCTCAATTAGGTTTGGTTCGGAAGTCATTTAGTTAGGAAATAAAAGTTTACTTTTTTATTTTATTTTACTTTTTACCTAAATTTGGGAAAATAAATTGTTTACATTTATTATTGTAAGTATAAAACAATGACTTAACAGCATGCCTAAGTAAGTGAAGTAATCTAATAAACGACGAGGGATGTAAAAATTAAAACGTACAGGAAAAAAATGATGTTATTATATTTTTATTGTTATTAATTTATATATTTTTATCACTCGTATTTATTAGGTATATGATGTGCATAAAAAATATGTACTTAATTCTATTATCAAGAATAAGTGAAACATTATAAATGCAACGTGTTAACATAAACAAGATACATTTATAGGTGTATGTATAAATATTAAAATAATAACAATATTAATAATAATTAATTACTCAATAATTACTAATAATATTGATAAAAAAAATGTATTGCTGTAGTTAACTCGTGTTTTAGGCTATATATTTTAGTTTACGTTTTAAAATGACACAAGAAAATTAAAATATTATATTCAAATTAAAAAAAAAATACTCAGTTAATATATATGTATAAGAATATACTTAATGAAAAATATATTCAATAAATCAATACTTATAGGGAGGTATTAAATTTATATTTAGAGAGATAGGTGTAAATAGTTCAAAGGTTTTGGGGGTACTCTTCCATATTATTTACAAAAAATTATCTATGCTTAATACTAAATTTTGAAATTAGGAGATTTGGCAGACATTTAGAAAGAAAAAGTATATATTTGTGTTAATGTATTTGTGTATATATTAATATAACCTATATCATAGTAATATAGTATATATCTAACTATTTAAAAACCATAATAACAACTAGTTATTATTATTATTATTATTATACTATTCTAGTTAGATAGTCTACAATAAAATATAAATATGTTTATTTAATAAATAGTATCTAATAAAAATAAGTATTATTGTAAATATTAATTATTATTAAGTAAAATAATAATAATTAATACAACATCATTAGTTGGAATTTGGTTTTTCTTTGAAAAAATTATCTTCGTTATATCAAAAATGTTTTAAAAAATAGTTTTGTCAAATAATAATTACCAAAGCAATCAATTTAAAAATTAGAGCGTAATAAGACTAATAACTAATATTAGAAGGAAGGTTCAGATATCAGATAAATTATGCGATATTGTATTTTACAGGACATTATAACAATGGGTGTATTATAGTTTTTATAAAATGTTGATAAATGTTAGTATAATTTACAATTTTTGTATTACCTACTTATTTTTTATTCAAATTTTTATATGAGAGTTATAACATTTTAGCTTAAAAAAAAAAGAATGAAAAAGGGTTAGAGAGCCTAGTTAAAAAGCGCAGAGCTCACTGGTCACATGTATACAGAAATATTTACGTGTTAAATAAATATATTAAAAATATAAAATGGTTTAGAAAATAATATAATAACACATGACAGTGTTACAAGTCTTAGATTAAAAATTTACATTGTATACTTTGACCTCAGTATTAACATATAACTGTTTTACCTAAGAATATTTATCAGGATTAACATTTAACTATATTATATTATTTTATATGCACATAAAAAAAAAATAATATTCATCACTTGTATTAATAATTCAATGACTTTCTTTAATGTCATCGATTATTTTAATTTCCCCCCTCTTCATTAACCATATCAACGTATTTATATATTTACAGAGTTTATTTTATAGGTTTAAAAAATACATAACATAGATAAGTTGATATAATTTTGTATTAGTTTTTTTTTACACTATGTTTTATTGAGAGTAGTTGAAAATATTTTTTTTTACCTTATATGTTGACTTTGCTCCCACCCTATTTAAAAATCTTGACCATGCCACTGCTTATAGATCATTAAAATACACTTTATATAACGATGATTTTGACCTTTAAATTTTCTATGATCATTATTTTATGAAAAAAATGAAATGATAATAAATTAGGAAATAGGAAATAATAAATTTGTGACTAATTTGGCCAAAAATGTACTAAAAATAATAAAATGTATACATTTTTTTTATTCTAAAATTGTTTTTATAGAATTATAATTTTACAAGCTAATAGTATAAAATGTACGATATTTATCTCGTATTCTAATAGATTGTTAAACTTTAATCAAAATAATGTTGCTATCTTTACTCTTTAGTGCTCACAATTCTACAAAATAAAATTTAGACAAATCAGATAGACAGAGAAACATAAATTAAAATTTTAGTACAAACAACTTTAAGTCTTTTAAATTAAAATAATTTATTAGTTATTTTATTAGTAATGATACACAACAAAATCTTAATCAAGTCGTTATTTATTAAAATAATTAAAATCAGATGTTTACAATATCATCCAATTTGCCATCAAAGTTTAAGATCAAAACATCTTTCAACTATTTATTGTACAAACACATACAAAAAAAAAGAGATAATTTCAAAATCAATAAATCTATAATGAAAATAAATTTAATTCTGTCAAAAATACAAAAACTGGTTTCATAAATTCATATCTTTACTATTTAGTTATTTTTTTGGTTTATTTTGAACAGTAAATTAGAGTATTTTACTTTAGTTTCCTCTTTTAAAAGTACATCTAATTAAAATTTGTTGCCAAAAACCACGTTTAAAGAAAGAATTCTAAACAACTCCTAAAATCAAAGTCATAAAAAAAAATAGATCATTATTCAATATAAAACAAATACATTCATTGCTGCGTTCAGAATTTAAAATAGGTTGCTTAGGTAAAATTTACACAAGTTTCATGTATACGTCATACATATTTTCTTTAACTACAGTGAATAATAATTGTGAATAATAACGTTAAGATTATAATTAATACTGTTGTTATTATTCATGAGGAACTTACCAGGTTTTTTTTTTTTTTTGAAACAAAATATAATAGTTATTCATACAGTTCATTAAGCTAATATAACATATTTAAATATTAAAACAAATAATATAACTTATTCTGTGTACTTTATATTAATTATACATTTTAAATATTATCTTAGTTTTTGCTTTTATTTTTAAATATTAAAACTCACTTAAAATACCAATTGATTTTTATCAGTAAAGATAAACAGAATAATTGAAGTTCTAATATATTATATTTGTTTATGTACATTGTACCTATAGATATAAATTAGAGTGAAAAAAATATGTATACACTATACACATTATAGAAGCACAAATTGCAAACCCTAAAATCAGGAAACTAGTCAATGGGTCTTGTAAAAGAGTTGTTAATATTTTATGACGAAATATTTCTTTTGTATAAGATCGTATTTTATAAATATAACTACAACATTATGTACTTACTCTAAAATCGATAAAATGTATTCAAAATGATGGATTCATACTATCGATTCATCTAAAAAAAAATAAATAAAATTAATAAAAAATAAAAAAATAAATACTATATCAATATTATACAAAATTATGATGGATAAAGTTATTGAAGCATAATATAAAGGACAAAAAGGTTCATAGGTCATAACTGAAAATATTTATATTAATTAAATTTAGGTTATGTATTAACTTAAATTTTCTGACTTACTATGCTTTTAACAATTCATGTAACTCTCTGGTTGGCTGGATAAACATCTATTCACTGTAAATAAATTAAATTCGTCACATATCAATCAATTTTATTCCTTCGTCTAAACTTTCTAGTACTCATAAAAGTTCAAGAGATAAAATATTTTTGTATGATTATCATGTCGAAATAATTATTAATGTAAATATTTTTGTGAAAAATTCAAGTCTAAGTTATTCTTGGTTTTTAAATCTACAACGAAAACAAAATCATTTATGTTGAAATCTGATTTTAAGTGAATATTCCTGTTTTTTTTGTATTTACGTTCCTATTGGCTGTTATAATTACAAAAATCAAAAATATAGTTTTTGATGGTCATAAAAAAGTGTGTTCAGACAAAATGAAAACATGAAGTTTATCATTATGAAATCAATGCGTTGTGGCTTCACTAAAAAACTAAAAGCGTATCAAATGTTTGGCACTTGCCATTCCACTCGACAATTCATCGGTTTTTTTTTTTTGTTATAAATAGTACAATGCCCACACTCAGATCCGCTCAACTCGGTTAGTCATGAACCTCATTCATTGGACGAACCGTCGCGTATATTTTAAAATACTCGTCACATCAGACATTTTTGAGTATATTATACATGTATACCTGCACTCATCCGGCTAATACTGTCGGATGACGATATTCAATACCTACATCACGACTTACGATAAGCATAATATCAATGATATGATTAGATTCCTATACGTCATTCTCGTCTAGTACGTTTTACAGTCGTTTTACAATCCGCGATCGCAGTTAGAACGTAACCACTCGACAACCACATTCTATAAACAGTGTTAGCGCGCAGCGACCATGGTGAACACCGACGCCATAACGACGTTTTGTCTGCTCGTCGCGGCCGCCGTGGCCGCCGGGTCCCGAAGCGCGTCCGCGGCTCGCGTGCTCGGGGTGTTCCCGCATCACGGGTACAGCCATCACATGGTGTTCCTGCCCTACCTGCGGGCGCTGGCGGACCGCGGGCACGACGTGCACGTGATCAGCAACTTCGATTCGGCGCACCCGAACATCACCGACATCAGCGTCGCCGGTTCCATGCCCATGTCCAACAACGAAGTCCCTATCCAGCACACCGCCAGGGGATTCGGCGTGGTCGGCGCGTTGAAGGACATGTTCGCATCTGTAGGCTTGCCAGGACGACGGAGGGCCTGTTCGACGTGCCGGCCGTCCGAGTCTGCTCGACGACCGCGCCGCGTCGTTCGACTTGATCGTCGCCGAACATTTCAACACCGAGCTGTCGCTCGGTTTCGTCGCCAGTACCGCGCGCCGCCCGTGTGCCAGCAGCGTCCGCTGACGCCGTGGAACCTGCCCCTGGTCGGCCAGTCGCAACACGCGGCGTTCAGGCCGTCCTTATTGAGCGGCCTGCCGGTGCGCATGGACTTCGGCCAGCGGCTCGTCAACGCGGCCGTGGCGGCCTCGACCGCCGCCGCGTTTTGGCTGCTGCACCGGCCCTGGAGCCAGCGGACGCTGGAAACGTATGGGCCTGACGTGTCCCTGGACGAGTTGGCGTCCAACGTCAGTCTGGTGGCACAACACGCATTGTCCTGCGACGGGCGTCGCCACCGCGGCTGCTGGGAGGTCGGTGGATGCACATCGCGCCACGCAAACAATTGCCACTCGTTAGTACTCGAGATACATTATGTCACTATTTACCATTATAAATTAGGTAAAATATTTCATAACGATTTGTGTACACTGTACCATACAGTTGTATTTAGTTTAGAATAATCATTACCTATATAATATAAACAGTATAATATTGTATAATAATAATAATAATAATATTCTATACTACGTTAGCCAAAAAAATCCTATAGATTTTCAAGTCACAATCCCGACAATGAACAATAGTAACATAGTTTTTATAAATTTATTTTATCTGTTACATAAATATTAAACTACTCAATATTACTGGCACACCTATTGGTAAGATATAGAAATATACGATTTATTCTTATAGGTGAATGCCTATAAGAATGCCCATCTTTTTTCATAAAGTCGAAAACACTTTCATTGTAATCGCCATGTAATTGTGTTTTATAAATTATATTGCACTTATGAATATTACTTGAATTTTACTAAACCAAACACATAATAATTTAATATTATTTTCTTTTATACTCACAAATCACGATACGGCTTACGGGTATGGTATTGTTACGGAACTGTTGATAATTACCACAATTTAGGTAAATACTAGGCAGTGGCGTATGTTAAAACAGAATAATTTTCGGGTTGGACTATTTGTACAAAAGGTAGCAAGACTTAAACGTAACATCTATAAGCGTCTATTGTATAGTAAAGAGGTTCCCAAGAGTGGGTCACGTATTTTTAAATAATACATTTTTTTATACATGTGTTACTTTTTCTCAAATAACTAAAAAAAAGGTCATTGATATTATTGTGGTTCGTCAAAATTTAAATAATTTCCAATACATTCAATAGTTTCTAAAAAAATAACCCACTTTATGCTACAAGTGGTTATTATTTCATGACAAGAATTTTTAAAATTGTAATTATTTAATTGATTTAACTTCAAATTTTTCGGTGAAAATAAGATATATAAATATTATAAAAATTAATAATAATCATAGGTAAATTGATATGACATCATCAAGCTCGGATTAAGATAATTTTGGGTCCGGGACCAAACAATTTTAGTGGTCCTTACCCCTTGTTTGATATCGGTTGTGAGTCCCAGGCCTCCTCTTAATCCGGGATTGGACATATTATTATGTTTAAAGAACCATAAAATATAAAAATAAAATAAACACTCAATTTACCTAAACTAAACGGTCAACAAATAATATTATAACCAATACCTATATAATATTTATATTTCTTAAAAGTAGCTTTTCTCTGTTATTCAGTATACAATAATACCTATTTAAAATAATATAGTTGATAATTTTAAATCAAAAACTATTTTTTAATAAGAAAATGTGTATAACTTAAAAAAAACATTTATCAAAAGCTAGATATATTATATAGTTTAAAATAAATATAGCTATTTATAAAATAAACTAAAAATTGTTAAAATTGTATGTTCAATAGAAGACGTTTTATCTACAAGTTATCAATTCAACGATCCAATCTCATCTTTTAAAAAAGTAATATGATACTGGTAATTAGTAGTTTTTATATACATTAACCATTAAAAGTATTAAGTTGTCTATTAGTCGGCGATTAACAATAATAAAATCATGTTTTTTTGTTCTTATCTTTCTCAAATACGATAAAACTAGGTATTTTAGTGAATAATTTTAATTTAATATAATTGTACACTTTTTAAATAATTGTGTTGCTAACGTTTACCTAAATTACTAAATATTTTATTTAATTACATTGACTAAAGTACCTATTAAAATATACAATAGTAACAAAATGTATATTTCACGTTTTAATCTATTAAATGTTTTATCTTAAGTAATAATTATAATACAAGAGTGTTCAATGTTCATAGATATTATAGAATATTCTCATTAATAATATTTTATTCGAAATAAACTACGCACATAACTTTAATGATTGTTTTATTTGTAACAGTAATTAGTAATGTTACAGTAGTTTCTCCAGCGAACACGGCAATCATCTTAGTTGTGTTCCCTCATTAAATTTTAGTCATAATTTAGTTTACCCACCATATTCAGACTCCCAAACAAGAGATACAATATTTCTATTATCACTATTTCACTAACTATCCTAACATAAATAATTTTTATTATATTTATAATAAATAAATTATTAAATTTATAATTTAATTTAGAGGGTCAATGCCTATAAATAATAACAAAAATGTATCAACCATATCGAAGGCAATTCAATAAATAAAGTAAAACGTTCCATAAAATATAATTTTGTGATTTTATGACCACGAAAAAATATATGAAGTCATACCTATTTTAATTAGATAGCGTGAAGATATTATTAAACAATCCTTTTAAGTTTAATTTACTTAGTACTGAACATTTAAATAACGAATATTTTTAGGATATGTATTAAAATTCAACATATTCTGAATAGTTACAAATTGTTGCTTTAGTATCAGCATTATAATTGGACAGCCATATTAGTTAATATATTTTCAATATTAACCGGCTTAGGCACAAAAATGGGGTTTATTTGTATTTGAAAATACAATTTATAGACTTAAGTCGAAGTTTAATAATTATTAAACAAAATGTTTACGTTAAGGTTTTATTAGACCAATTAATTTTGAATGCTTATTTGATTATAATTAACGCTAATTTTGTACTATTTAAATCTAAATCGTTAGTACCGGCTGTTGTAGAAATTGGTAGGATATACATAATGCCAATCAAACCTTTAACTATGATATAAATGTCTAATTTGTAGCATAATAATAGTAGTTTTGTTTAATGTTTTCAATAAAACACGTAAAACCAGTCATATAATTACTAATTAGATATAACTACACTAATAGTATAATAAAATATACGTATACTATATATATTTATACAACCCAAGTTATTCGAGCTATATAAGTATTGTGTTGATATAATCACTCAAACACTCAAATAACATTCTGATAAAAAAAGAACGATAAATTTGTCTTTTTCTAATCAATAGAGATTAGGTACCTAATAAATGTAGATTATTTTCTTTTGAAATACATAGAAAACGTTATAATATGTTTGTATTATGGTAGTGTGTGTTCAAATATAATCGATATAAAAATGATGAACTGCAGTTCAAAAATTCTATTACAATTGTTGGTTATACTTCCGTTCTTTCAAGATGCTTTGTGTGCAAACATTCTAGGCGTATTTCCAATCGAAGCCCTTAGTCATCAAATCATTTTTGATTCTTACATGTCCGAACTTCACCGCCGTGGTCATAATGTAACGGTGTATACACATTATCCAGACCTTGCCTCCGAACAATACAAGCGAATACAAATCACCAACATGTCGTCTGTATTGGACCCAAGCTACGTGACCATGGACCATATGTATTCGCCATCAATTTTGAATAATTATAAACACATGTTTCACATCGTGCGTAATGGAGAAACATACACTCAGTCCGATGCACTGCGTCAACTGTACAACCAGCCAGAAGACATTTACGATTTAATTGTGACCGAAACATGTAATACCGATCTATACCTAGCGTTGATAGAACGATTCAAAGCTCCATTTATTGCATGGACTACATCTCCGTTGTTCGTGTGGTCCGCCGATCGCATGGGGATGTCCACCCATCCTGCATACATACCAGTACTAATGACAACGTACGGACCACAAATGACTTTCGTAGAACGAACTTATAATACACTGTTGCGATCGATGGCTTATCATGAGTATTATATGAAATCATCAATATCCTCTCAGAAAATCGCTTCAAAACGTTATAAAAATTCAACTAAATTAGATCAGTTGGTGTTAAAGACTAGCTTGTTGTTTATAAATACATATCATACTATATGGGGCAGTAGGCCACTACCACAAAACGTTATCGAAGTAGGAGGTCTGCACGTAAAACCACCAAAACCTCTGGAAGAGGTTTGAAAACAAAATAAAAATTCATTATATAATATTAATTCATTGTTGAATTGTTTTTTAGTTATTATACATTTATTAATTCAATTATTTTATGTGTTTATAGGACATACAGAAATATATTGACGAAGCTGAGAATGGAGTAATTTATTTCTGCATGGGCAGTTTATTACGGGGTGAAACTTTTTCAGCCGAAAAAAGGCAAATGTTCTTAAATGTCTTTAATAAAATTCCACAACGAGTTCTGTGGAAATGGGAAGGTGAACTACCCGGAAAACCATCCAATGTAATGATTCGCAAATGGATGCCTCAACGAGATATTTTAGGTGAGTACCTTATCTATAATATAGTATATATATATTGTATATAATGTAGTATATACTATATATATGCATTTGACATGATTTATGTTATTTATAATCTTATCTATTTAAATTTATAAATATGCAATTTCACTGCAGCAATTTTAAGATTTAAATTTAAATTTTTGACCATGAATACGTATTAGTTTATAATTGTTAATTATTATTTGTTAGTAATATTTTTAAAATTTTTTTTGGTGAACAGCCCATCCTAATGTTAAACTATTTATATCTCATGGTGGCCTATTGGGAACTACTGAAGCTGTGTATGAAGGCGTTCCAATCTTATCAATGCCAATTTTTGGCGATCAAATGACAAATATTAAAGCTGTTGTAAGCAAAGGAGCTGCAGAGTTGATGAATTACGGAGATTTAAATGAAGATGAAATTTACATGAAAATAACATCTATGCTTACAAATCCTGAGTAAGTGTATTGTTAAAATCTTTAATATCTACCGCGAATACTGTTTCCCATAGCAGTAATACGTACAAATATGTTATTCTATGCGTGTTATATTTTTATGATCTTTACTTACTTTTAAAATATAGATACAGGCAAAAGGCTAAAGAATTATCAGAAGCTTTTCGTGATCGACCTATGTCTCCTTTAGAAACTGCAGTGTATTGGACAGAATATGTCATCCGACACAAAGGGGCGCCGCAACTTCGGTCTGCCGCTGTCGGTATGCCATGGTATCAATACTATTTAATCGATGTACTAGTTGTAATTTTTTTAACTGTAACAACAATTTTTGTATTACTTTATTGCTTAATTTTTAAAGTTCTTTTAAGATTGTTCAATAGAAAATCTAAACAGAAAAAATCTTAATAATTAAGATAATTTGACTTAGGTTAAGTATGCTAAATAAAATTACTTAAATAGTGGTAAAATTTTTATTATTAGTGCTAGATATTACATAAATATTAATACATTTATACATAACCTATGTAAGTGCTATACTGAATTTTAAAAATTGGATAGTAGAACTTTAAGGTAATAACAAACTAGATACTATTTTATAGATGCATTTTTTTTAATATCTACATGAATAAAATGTTTATACTAAGAATAATTAAAAATAATTTATATCATAAAATGGTAGGTACGTTTAAGATTTATACTTGTAGTAATACTTGTCTAATTACGATTATATTATGAACAATATATTTATACATCTAAAAATGCTATGCCTAAAAAGTAAAAAGTATCTATAGCTGTTAATTGTTGTCTTTTATTAACTTATACTTGGGCATGGCAGAAACCTACGGGTGCCCACTAAAAATTCTGCCAAATAGGCGTCCGAACTAGGCCTTTGGGCCTACTCCCGGACATAAGCGCCATATGCTAAAAAAAAAAAAAAAAAACTTATACTTGTTGTACATACACCGTTTATTAAGGTGAATATGTTCATCACATAATAATAGCTTATAATTGATTTAAATATTATTATTGAAGTATCATTATGTTTACTTATAGTAAATTAGTAAATAATTATACATAAGATCAATAATGTTTAAAAGTTTCAAATCTCTACGAATAATATATTTTCAATTATCTACAGAAAAATATTATCTACATTTGTTGTTTTTGTTAAAATATTAATTTTTATCAAAATTGTGCTTAATAAAAATTTAAAAAAACTTTTGTGCATATATTTTTGATATTTTTAGCTTATTGTAAATCTTTAAAATTAAAAATAAAAAAAACTATTTTTACTGTTCAAAAAGTGAAGACAGGCACAAAGAAAAAAATACATACATATCATTCTAAAATCAATACATTCATTGTTCCACTCAAAACCTAAAAAAGTAATACTTTTTATAAGCTCTTAAGAACCTTAAATCATTTGCTATCAAAATATAAAATAAAAAGAGAATAGGTAATCTTTTAGGTACTAATCTTCTTTAATTATTCTAAAATAATTATTGAAGTATTATAGTCCCTGCGGAAATTTCGTCTGAATAGCCCGTGTTATAGCATTTAAAAAAATATATATAAAAATAATGAATATTAATACTAAAGATTCATTAAAATATATTTATTAATAAATATTTACCTACTCTACAGAAATAGTAGTAGGTACCCCCCGTATAAACGCAAATGAGATATGAGTGGTGAAACTGAAATTGTCTTGTCTTACTGGCAAATTAAATTTGCGTCCCCTCAAGTTTTGGGTATAATATTAAATTAGATATTATTCATCAATTATCAATATTATAAATTTAAAAATAATATTTAACAAGTAATGCCTATAATAGCTAAAGTACAGAATATAATATATAATGATTGTTTGCTAAAATAAAAACAAATCACATGGAAAATTATTCTTACGAAACTTACATAAATGAAGAAAATACATTTTATTTTAAGGATAATTTATAAAAATATTGATTTAATTATTTAGTTTTAAGTTTTTTTTTTTTTTTTGTTAAATAATATTCTAAAGTTTAAACATAATATATTAGTATATTACATTAATTATTATGTTTTGTTTTATATCTACCTGTTATCATTTTTTCGTTTATCGTTTTCCGTTTTCAAAATCAACCGTTTTTTTATGTGGCAAGTATAATGTTGTTATTTGTTATGAACACAACAATATTACCTACTTATTATAACTTTTCAAATCTTGAATCTATAGTATATCGTATATGCAATGGTTTTTGAGTTCTGCCTACAATCTAAAACTATATGTAGAAACCGCAGACATGGCTACTGATCAGAAGAAAGAGCAAAGACTGACCAACGCCTGTTTTGAGACATTGATAATGTTATGATTTTGGCGCGTAAATAATCAAAATAATTATTAAAATATTATCTATTGATAATAAACTTATATAAATTTTAATATCAAGATTCATGATTATTAAAAGTGCATATTTAATATTTATACTATTGTTCTATATTTCTTTCATATTTTGTCTGACGTTTGTCTCCAATAAGTCCAATACGAATGTCCATTCGCTTAGTGTTGTGTATTATGTATTATGCTAAGTTAATTTTTATTATTTATTGACTTATCGTTTTCTTTCTTTAAAAAATAAATACGTTTATTTAAAATATAGTTTCAGAGTTGTATAATTATTAATAATTTATTACTATCGGTTAACTGTACCTACTAAATAATAAAATATGAATTTTAATGATATGCATGCTTTAGCTAAACGTATAGATACTCAGGTTAAATCATTGGAGGCAAAAGTAGCTCATCCAATGAGTATGATATATTCTAATAATTCTAATCAAGGTGTCAAAGTACTATCAATGTTGAAAGATATGATCAAGGATGTAGAAAATAAAAAGGTACCTATTTAAAAATAAGTTCATTATTTATCTACATTTATCTGATTATCTATAGCGCTGTTCTTCGACCTTTTTAGACAGTAGATCAACTATAATTTTTAAAAAATTTCATTGGTTGCATTTACAGTATGACATGTATTTAATAATTTAAAATATATGTAAATATATATATATAATATTCTTATAATGTGTTTGCAAGTCTCAAATAAAGACGAGGTTAACTTGAAAACATTTTGAAGACCTCTGATTCTTAAATACATATTATATTATTAAATTAATAACTATTAATTTTAGTTAGTTATTAGGTACTTATTACTATTTAGTACCTACTTAAGTTTAAACTAAAAAAGTAATTAGTTAATATATTTTCTGTTTATAGAAAGAAATTGAGAGTTTGATACAAGAAGAAAATTTAACATGGTCTGGAATGGTAGAAGATTACAACTCTGTTGCTAAATTTAAATCAGAAGTTGTTGCTAATTTGAATGATTATGAAAATATGTGGTCATCTAACTATCCTGATTATAAACCATTTATATCATACAGTCATTCTGATTCAGTAAATGAAGAATTAGATTCTCTCAATGAACTTAATATTCACGATGATAGACAAATAGCAGATCAGTATCCTTTTACTTAATTTATTTCACAAATAGTAAAATAATATGGTAGAAAAATGTTTATCTAATTTTTAGTACATATAAAAAATTATAATTTTTAGCAATAGGTATTCTATATTTCAATAAAATCAAATACTATTAACACCTTTAAATTACCTATTCATATAAAATGTTACATTTTAAATTGTCATTATGTTACCAAACGTTGAATTACTTTTTATTTAAATTTTTTTTTATTAAACATGACATTTAATTTTGATGGACTCACAAAAATTCCTGAATTCCTAATGTGGCCCTCCTAAAATAGTATTTGGAAACCACTATTTAGTTTTAGTCAATTTTATTAAATAACAAGAATATTTTATCAGTCTTTATTCTATCTCTATTTTATCTAAGTTAAGAAGATAATTTGGCTGCTGACTTATACACAAGAGTGAGGCTTAACTACAGATAACAGGTATGCAGATAATTGACTGTAGGGGTGACGACCTGATAGGGCCTAAACACTCGCTTACAAAAATTGGTTGCCAAATTGTGTTTTCAACTTGAATAAAGTAATCTTGTTTTTCATATTCTAATTTATAATACAGTCAACTCGCTGTATTGTGAATTTCTAGGAACTTGAAAATTAGTTTGTTACAATGATATTTATATTATATCACAATACTTTCAAAGAAACCACAGTTTTGTTTACTATTTTGAGATTTTTGTTACATCACTAGTTGATAAAATTTTATTTTAACTATATTGTTTAAGGTTATTAAAATTATTAAAAATAAAATAAACAAATATGATATATTTCCTTATATTTTACCATAAGATCTTTAAATGATAGTCTCAACAATGTCAATATCACAATGTCTTAATATTTTTATTGTATGCAGAGGATTTTGGTTGGTAAAAAACAAATTATTTTAAGCAGAACCGTTACTTCAATTTTTTTTAAATGTGTATTATTATGTGTTGTGCAAAAACAAGTTTACAATTTTTTTTTTTTAATATAAATATGTTACCACTAGTTAATTTCTTAATTCATATTGTATTCATCGCTTATCAAACCTGCTTTTTATACAAAAATGTTGTATAGATTTTAGATTTTAACTTAAACAATATTAAAAAAAAGTATACAAATGTATTTCAATGATAAATTAAATGTTATTTTTATTTGGAATATATTTTTAATTTTATTACCTACAATTTATAATAAATACATTTTTTTAAATTTTAGTTTATCATTTAAATAAGACCCTAACATTTTCAAAACTAAATGAATTAATTTTTGGTTAAAATAAATTGATTTTTTTTTTTATATGTATATACTTGACTGCCTATTGCCCAATTAATTATTTATTCTGCAGTTTAAAACCTGCCTGAATGCAGTATGACAAGGTTTTTTCCATCAATGCATAATGCATAATATATGTATACAGTACAAATAAATATATTATATTAAATATAATTGGATAAAAAAATTGATGGTGATAAATTTTATTGATGGATAATATTTTTGTTACATATTTTAAGTCACTTAACAATATTTTCTTGAAAAAATATTTTTACTAATTTACCATACCAATAAAAAATGTTATGTTCTATAGGTAGTTCTTTGTATAAATTTTGAAAAATGCAACAAAAAACTATTGCATAGTAAAAAACATCCCTAGTACACAACAGTCTAAAGATCCAAAATTATTTTTCTCAAACCAACTTTTACAGTTATTACACCAAAAAAAAATATAAATTTTAATCATTGAAAATATTTTTAAACATGTTTTTATGATATAAAATTATGTAAAAGAAATAATTGTAAAAATATTAATAATTTAAAAAATCCCTCAATTGCCTATACATATGTATACCATCATTAATTTTCTAGTTCATGAAGAAAATGCAAATATTTTGCAGCATGAACCAGTTTTAACTTATTTGACTTTACCCGGTGTTTTAATTAAATATTTCGTTTAAATAAAATGTAACTAGAGTGTAACAAGGTAATAGGGTTATGATATTTTGCTTCAAATATTTTTTGATAATATAATATGTTATTATATTTAAAAATATTTTTATTAATTAAATGTTAAATCAAAATAAAGCAGAATTTTATAAATATACAGCAAGGTAATATGTATATAAATGAAAATTTGATTAGGAATAATAAGAATCATAACCATTTGCCACTAATAGTTGATATTCCAATGGTTAAGTTGAAAAAAATATAAAAATAGCAGATGCCATATACAAGTACTGAACAGATATTTAACTCAATAAAAAATATATATAACAATGAAATAATTGTGTAAGTAAAGAATTATGTAATTATATACTTAGTAAAATGTTAAAACTATCTATTAATTTTCTCCTAATTTTATTAATAATTAGTGTTAAAATGAAACTCAGATGAAGCAAAAAAATTATACATTTCTCTAATCACAAACATGTGAACAAAGAATACATCATTATTGTTGTCCACCAAACTTTTATTCAGGAGTTAAATGAACATATAACTTGCCTATCAATCCTGCAGTGTTCATCTTCAGGGTAATGCAGATAGAACAAATGAATAATTTATAAAAAATATTTAACATGGCATCAATTCAATTATTTTTATTTAAGTTTTTCAACAACTATTTAAAGCTGAAGGAAAACTGTTGGACTAATATTTTTCAATTTTGAAGGCTTAAAACTATTGAAAAATATAGAAATTTGAAAAATTAGAAATTAGAAATGAACTCTTATATGGCAGTCGGCAGAATTGCAGGAGTTGCAGGAGTTAATATAAAATTATAACGAATAACGATTGTGATAATGTGATTTGTAATAAATAAAAATTATTATTTTGGTTTTCTATGGTTGGTAATAATGGTGTGATCCGTTGTTATTGGTTGCAGAAGAACTAAACTACGGCTTTAGATAATATTTTGATAATATTATTTATTATCTATTATCTAATATCTATAGCCGTGCACTGAACACAGCCTGATTGGAAATTGTTTGAATGATTAGCACGTGTTTTGTTTATCATAGTCGACAATTTTGTCAGTCGACGATTCAACATTTAGAGAAATCAGAAAAGTGATTAGTTAATTATATGTTTTCAATTTATTAATAAGTTTAATTTTGTAAGTATTTTCATAGTCATGGACCGCTCAAAAAAGAAGCTTGATTTAGGATCTCAAATCCAAATAAAATTCATTACAAAACAAGAAATGTAAGGTTTTACTACTTGAATTATTAATCAAATGTACCTAACTAATAATAATGAAACAAGAAATAAATAGTAGTTACTTAATTAGTATATTGTGATAGATTATGGTAGTTCTGTGATATTTACTTGTATTTATTTATTAATTTGTTTTACAGTTATGCTGTACCAGAATTTCCTTTTGCAGTTGATTCAAAAATCCAATGTGAAAATTTGAATAAACTAGTTAACGAATTATTAAAAGGTTTAATGGATTTATTTTATAATATTTTGATTTGATTTTTGTTCCTGAATTGGTTCATTCTATTGTATTTGATCGATTGATTGATTGATTTATTTATTTAGATAAATTATCTGATGATAATGGAGTTGTGAAGAAGATCGATTTTGATTTTTTGGTCAATGGTGAATTATTGCGTACTCCTTTAGACATTCATCTGACAAACAAAAATGTATCTAGTGAAAGCAATGTGGTTGTTGAATACATGGAAGCTACTCCATCACCTGAACCAATGGATTGTCTTATACATGATGACTGGGTATCTGCTATACATTCTAATGGATCTTGGTATGTTTTATGAGCTTTTTAAACATTCAGAAATGTATTTTTATTTTAGAATTTATAATTATTTTTACTTGATTTTTTCAGGATCATAACAGGATGTTATGATAATTCAATTCATATATGGACAAACAAAGGGAAACATAAAACGGGTATATCAGGGCATACTGGTCCCGTGAAAGCAGTAAAATGGATTTCTGTCTCAAATGATTCTGCCACATTTGTTAGGTAAACAATAGAATTATTTATATTAATATTAAAATTATATCAACTCAAATTAAATAGTTGTTATTTCCTTAACAACTATGAAATTATTTAAGTATGAATATCTCATTTTAATTAAGTAATTAATTATTTTTTAGTGGTTCTCAGGATCAGTCAATTAGAGTTTGGGATTGGGATATAAAGAAAGGAACTACTAATTGTTTACAAATTGGCCGTGGACATGAAAGATCAGTAGAATGTATAAGTGTTAGTCCAGATTCAACCAGATTTGCTACTGGTGGATGGGACACTATGTTGAAAATTTGGTCATCAGGTAAAATTATATTTGTTATATTTAGTTTACATTAAAATTAAAAATATAACAAAGCAATTAGTCAAATTTGAAATTTTTCTGAAGAAAAATATAACTAATATTTTTAGTAAACTTAATTTAATGATCATTTGATTTTAAATGAAATTGTATCAAATTAATCTTAATTCAATACTTAAATATATAAATAATTAAATGTTTGTTTTTGTTCAAAAATATAATATTTATTACATTAACATTGTTTCATCAAATATTATATAGTAACATTAAACCCTTCCATTAATTTAATAATTTGTCTAACTTATCTAGATCCAAATTATGAGCCTGCTGATAAACCTGCTAAGAAACTTAAAACTGAAACAAAAGTTATGGTCAGTACATTATTTAATATTTTGTACATTTTATTTAAATATTTAACATATTTTAACAGCCTCCAATCATGACATTAAAAGGCCACAAAGAAAATATATCATCTGTTCAGTTTATTAACAACTCTGATCTAATAACAGCTTCTTGGGATCATACTATAAAACATTGGGATGGAGAAATAGGTGGAATCAAAACAGAAATTGTTGGTAACAAATCATTTTTCAATCATGATTACTCAGATTTAAATGGATCTGTAATCACGTGTTCGTCTGATAGGCACATAAGATTATATGATCTAAGATCAAAAGGTAAAAAATTGTTGTCACTATTGTTTTTTTTTATTTTAAAATTTACTGGCTTATATCATTTGAATATTTTTAGAGGGATCATTAGTTAAAGGAACTTACTCATCACACACACAGTGGGTAACCACAGTCAAATGGTCTAAAACAGAAGAATATCAATTTATATCTGGTGGATATGACAATCAAATGAAATTATGGGATACTAGAAGGTTATAACATAATCAGTATATGTTTGACATATCATATTATATTATGCAATATGTAATATTTTCATAAAAAAAAATCTTGTTTTAGCCCTAAAGTACCATTATTTGAATTGACTGGCCACGAAGAGAAAGTGATGTGCAGTGATTGGTCAAATCAAAAATTAATTTTGTCAGGTGGAGCTGATAACACTGTTCGAATTTTTAAAAATAAAAATGTAAAAACTGTTTAAAATTAAATTAAAATTATAACTATTTTACTTATTTATTATTATGATTTCTATGAAAGATTTATTCTATTCATGTACTATTAAATAATTATTGTGCAGTATATTACAAGTACCAATTTTATTTGTAAAGGTATGGTAATATGTTTTTATAGTTGCTATATAGTATGCTGTGTAATAGATTTTGAGTGACATTTAGAAGATTACTATAATAGTTTAACAGGTATGTTAAATTTAAATTAAATGATAAATCATTGCATACAACAGTTATATATATATATAAATGTTGTCATAGTTGACTATTTAGTCAAAAAAATTGTTAATTTTCAAGCTGGTTATCGGTTTATTAATTATAAAGCTTAATGATAAGTATTACCTTTTGGTTATATTACAACTTATTTGGAGATAGATGACTAAAGACAGACGCAAATTTAGAAAATAAATATTATAGATGGAGAATGATGTGAAGTTTTGGAAATATGTAAATTTCTCCATTACATAGGAAAATATTTGGAATACAGAGTATTTAATGTTAGTGGGGTAAACCATTTCTATAATTTACCTGTGTCTAAAGTTTCGCATTATATTTTTGGTTTCACACTTAAAACTGAAATCTAACTAGCTCATTTTTATATTCATAGCCTGTAAAAAACAGTGTCTTGATAACACTTATAACAAAATATTTTTAGATTTTAGTGTTAAAAAATATAGAATTAATATTTTAGTAATTTTTGAAATTTTTAAAAGATGATACCATCTTATTAATATGAAAAGCACCACTGATTACCTACTAATAATTGTAATACATAAATAAAAAAATAGGTTCCCATTACTTTCTTAGTAGATAATCTATGCAATTATGGACTCAGATTTATAAGAATTGTCTTGGCGGCTTACCATCACTCTAACAAGTATAGGTGTTAAACATTGAAATTATTTGAGAATGGAAATAAATAATTTATGGGTACATAAAGTTTTAACACATAATATATTTTACATAGACTAAGTCAATATTTTCAAAACATTTAGATTAATTTATATCATGAACCGATACACATCGTTCTACGTGGTTAAGTTCATATTGATTTAACACTTAAATAGCTAAATACTTAATAACAATAATGTAGATATGCTGTTCTACTGATTAAATATTAATAATATAATAAAATATGCTATTTTTTCGGGAAAAATTATTTAAACGTACCATATTAGTAATATCTAGTAAAATAAATTATTATACCTCATATTATATAACAACAACACAAATATAACATAATAATATATTATACTATATTTTTTATAGTAGTAATATTGGTTGACAAATCGTCTTCGCTCAGAATCGCTTTCCGGGTAGGTTAGATTATGCAATGATTTATCAGTGAATTTGAATTGAACACAGGTACATTATATTGACATAATAAAATTATGAATTGCAATTGATAGTTACGTTATTAACATAATGTTCAGCAAAGTAGTTGCCTACTTTCCTTCTTTTTTTTAATTTAATTATATTTTAATGTAAAACTCGCGAATATAAGTGCATAACCAGCAAGGTGAATCAAAATTCTACTTTACATGTTGTATAATGTATAGGTAAATTCATCTTGTGCAGTGCACTATAGGTATATCTACGCATAGAATACACTATAGAAATATAGAGTATAGAGGTACCTACATGTACAATTTTATCGAATTTGATAGAAAGGAGGACTTTAGCTACCCCATGATTCACCATCAATATAATGATGCGTTTTTAAAATACTATTTACACGTGCACCTGTTTGTTAGAGCTTATATTATTTAACTAATTCCCCCGCTTGGTAACCAAGTTCACTATTGATTAAATTTTGAACTATGAACAAATACTTGTGTAGATTCCATTTGTGTAAAATCACGAAAATGGACGGTCTTCCTTTTATACCAGGATTTCGTTTTACAGATATAACGGTAAGTATACCTATAATATCATATAGGTAAGGATTGAGTGTTGTCGTGTTGATTCTAGGTACACTTATTTTAATAAGTAGTGAATACAATAACACAGTAATACACCAGTTGATTGGAGCCCGTTTGGCCGTAGAGATTATTTATATTCTATTTACCCACATTGACTAATTATATATTATTTTTATATTTTATACAGAAAAAAGATCACCATTTAAGTTCTCAGTTTCGATGGAAAAACGGATATGCTATTCCCAAAGACAAACCAATGGGCATTGGAAAAGCCCCCTTAGACGTGGATTTGATGCTATACAGTAAAACATTAGGTACCACAGGGTCAGTATTTATAATGATTGTATACCTATAAATTCATTACTTAATCTCGTTTATTATATACTCATGTCTTATACTGTAGTAGTATATAGCGTATTCATTATTGACTACTGACACTACTTAAACACTAATATTAGAAAATGAAAGAAATATCGAGGACTTTTTTAACCGAACCTAAAAATTGTTACCAAAACTAAAATAATTCGAAAATACTAAATGTCTATAAATAGCTTTAAAAGAATTAAAATATTTTGAAAATTATACGACTTATTGGAAATGTGTGCTAGTATAAATATTAGGTAAAAAATTTAAATACATATTATATCAATAATACCCATAAAATAATTCGTTTTTCACTCCTTAAAGTATCAACTTGGTCCAGTTTGTTATTAAAAATCACCACCAAAGTTGAAATTTTAAATATTTTTATTGCTCAAAAATGTGATGAGAAATAAAAAAAAAACATTAATAATTATAAAATCAATACATTCAACACTCCGTTTTGAATCTAAAATATGTATAGTCTCTGTCTGATTAGCCGATAATAGTATGGTATTATCGATTATGATGTATAATAACAATATATATATATATTATAAACTTAATATATTTAAATATTTATTAATTATTACCTATTTTTTGTTGATTAAGAACTAAGATATTATATAGGAGTTACGACTTTGTTAGTAGTTAAAAAAATTCTTTATTTTCAGGTAGGTATTAAATTGAAAAAATAAATACAAATGCACGCAAAAGTTAAAATAATGTAAGAGCTAAAACGTGGCTATATTCAATTTTTGTTTCACAAAACAAAAAAATATTTACACGAGTATTGCCGTATTTTAATAAATCTAAAATCTAAATAGATTTTTACTTTAGGTTTTACGAAAACATTTTTTGTAAAATTAAATAATAACTAATAAAAGAAAGAATTTCTTTAGTTACTATAAATTATAATACAGCTGGTAGGTATTTGAGTAAATTGTAAATATTAACAATATTAATTATGATTGGGTTTTAGACTTACCATTTTATTATGAAAATACTGTATTTGAATTAAAGCCTAGGTATACCTGACGTTCTTATTGGGTATCTACCAGTTTACCTATATCTACTTTAAATATAGTTGGTTAGTGGTTACTTAAACTCTACAGGCCTACCTACTGTAACACAGGTGCAGTTAATTATACTTGTGCCATCAATGTTAATAGTTGTAACATCTTAAAATTAGACAGACAACGTAATACTGTAATAACCTGTATACATGGATGGATACTGTTTAATGTATTACATGTCTAGTACCTATATAAATTCGGTTTTAAATTGTATTTAAATAATTTAATGTACAGGTATAATCCAACATTGACTTATGGGCAAGCAAAAGATCCACCGAAACCAATTGTTCAACCACATTTTATAATGTTTGATGGAAAATGTCTTTCCTTTAATGGATTTACTCAACAGCCTATAACTGAATCAGCTGTGGACACATTTAGAGTGCGCCGTGTTAAAATTACATATTTTTTGGTTGATGACTCTATAAGTGTTGTGGAACCCATTGTAGAGGTTTAAATTGTTCTTAATTATATCTCATTTTCTAGGTTTTTAATGATGTTGGTATAGGTATTAAATTATTATTTATTTTACCGTTAGAACGCAGGTTATGTCCAAGGATGTTTGCTGAAACGCGGCCAGATACCAAATCCACACCGTAAGAACAAGACATGGCATTGGTCCGACTTAAACAACGGAGTGGAACTTAATTTTTACGGAGTTGTGTATAAATTATGCAACTGCAATTCTTTTACCAGACAATTCTTGACCAGCCAAGGTGTGGAAGTTAATGTAGACAAACCAGTGCCCGACGACCCTTATATGAGTGCCAGACAGCAACAGTTACTTCAACAGAAGAAGCAACAGTCAACAACATTGGAATTAAAGTTTGGATTTGGCAGTCGATCGATCGAAGACGATAAACTCAAACAGTTTTTAGAAAATGATGGCAAAGTACTCAGGTTGGTACATTATCTGCATTTTCTAGGTAATAATATTTAACTCTGTGAACATAAGGTTATACGTAAATATAACATATCATAAATCAACAGTGTAAATGCATAATCGAACATAATGCATATAAGTATATTGAGTAATGCGAAAATGATAATTTTATAAGTCAAATATTTTCTACAACTTTCAGTATACCAAAATTTATCTACTTTGTATAACATTTTTTATACACCATCTGCATGTCAGTAGTGATATTGCTGAAAGACCTTTAAATTTGCTTAAATTAATTAAGACATTTCTTCGTTTCACTATGACTGAAGAGAAATTATCAAATTTCGCTATACTTACTACTTATTTTACAAATTTTCTAAATTAAAAAATATTAACAATCTTATTTTACTGCAGTAATGTTAATTTTGGTATGAAATAAGTTACAAGTTAAAAAATAAATTTTACATTACTGAATTTATATTCAATATTTTTATAAAGTTGTACTATTTTGTTACAATCAAAATTTTTAGTAGGACTAACTTCTATTTGACATACAATGTTTTTAGTTAACTCGTACATACAAATTTAAATCAATTATATAAATTCGAAACAATTGTTCGATTAATGTGTTACAACTTGCAAATCATTTTTTCTAGTATGACTACCTAACTTACGTAATTTCCAATGTTCATACAGGAAACAAAACTTATAGCAGTATAATAAACTTAGCTAAATTATTTGATAAGTTTGGTCTATATTATATTATTACATACTATTAAAAAGTATTGACCGTTTCAATATGTTAATAACCCAATAGGTAGGAATTTAAATTGCATGTTATACATAGGAAAAATAACGTTTCACCTCATTAAAGTGATACGTATTACGTAAGTCGTGACTATCAACTAAAACCAATTCTGGGATTTGTAGATACAATTTAATCATTAACACCATAGATACCCAACCTAAAACTTACATAAAAACCAATACCAATACCATGTATACACATTACATACTGCTATAGACACAGTAGTGTAAATCAATACCTACTTATTTATTGTAGGCACGTTTTAAGGGATAAATAAAAATAATACGTATATATTATTAGCTGCACAGTAAATATATTTGAAAAAAAATAACAAACATTACAATAAAAAAAAAAATCAGTCTCAACTTGAATATACTATATCTAATAGGTTAAGTAAGCATTTTACATAATCAAAATTAAAAATCTAAGATATACTTTACAACAGTATTTACAGATATCACGAGATGGAATGTAAGTAAATAATTTAATCGACTTCTTCGACGGTAGGTCCTCCTCTAGAACCCGGGAAACCTTGAGCACCCGGAGGAGCGCCGCCGGGTTGACCACCGCCGTGTATCTTCATCATGAGAGCAGAGCAACTCTTTTGTATTTCCTTCAGTTTGTACTCGTACTCTTCTTTGTCTGCCAACTGATTGTTGTCTAACCACTGGACGACTGCGTCGCATTCTTGTTTGCCAGTGTTCTTCTCAGATTCGGTCAACTTGTCACCGGCTTCGTCCAACGCTTGTTTCACGCCGAACACGTAGCTCTCCAACTGGTTCTTGGCCGCGATCTTGGCCTTTTGCCGTTCGTCCTCTTCTTTGTACCGTTCGGCCTCGCTGAGCATACGATCGATTTCGGCTTGAGACAGTCGACCCTTGTCGTTCTTAATGACGATGTTCTTAGAGCGGCCGGAACTGTTGTCCTTGGCCGAAACGTTCAAAATTCCATTGGCGTCCATGTCGAAAGTCACCTCGATCTTGGGCACACCCCTGGGCGCCGGAGGTATGCCGGTGAGGTCGAATGTTCCCAACAGATTATTATCCTTGGTCATTGCTCTTTCCCCTTCGAACACTTGAATGGTGACGGCCGGTTGGTTGTCCGCGTACGTCGTGAACGTTTGCGTTTGTTTGCACGGGATGGTGGAATTGCGCTCGACGATTTTCGTCATCACTCCGCCCGCGGTCTCGATGCCCAACGACAGGGGCGTAACGTCCACGAGCAGCACGTCTTGGATCGCGGAGCTCGTGTCGCCGCTCAGGATGGCCGCCTGCACCGCGGCGCCGTAAGCCACGGCTTCGTCCGGGTTGATGGACAGGTTAAGTGGTTTGCCGCAGAAAAAGTTTTGCAGCAGACTCTGGATCTTCGGGATTCTCGTCGAACCGCCCACCAGCACAATGTCGTGAATGTCTCCCTTGTCCAACTTGGCGTCCGCCAAAGCCTTTTCCACCGGTTGCAGGGTCGATCTAAACAGGTCCGCGCACAACTCCTCGAAACGGGCCCGGGAGACTCGCGTGTAGAAATCGACGCCTTCCATCAGGGCATCGATCTCAATGGTGGCCTCCGAACTGGAAGACAACGTTCTCTTGGCCCGTTCGGCGGCCGTCCTCAGCCGTCTCAACGCCCTCGGATTGCTACGCACGTCTTTTTTGAACTTCCTCTTGAATTCGTCGGCCAGATGACTCACCAGCCGGTTGTCGAAGTCTTCGCCGCCCAAGTGCGTGTCGCCCGCCGTCGATTTCACTTCGAATATCGAACCCTCGTCGATCTGCAGAACGGACACGTCGAACGTACCACCGCCTAGATCGAATATCAACACGTTCCTCTCTCCTTTCAGGTTCTTGTCCAGGCCGTACGCCAAAGCCGCGGCTGTCGGTTCGTTGATTATTCGCATCACGTTCAGCCCAGCAATCGCGCCCGCGTCCTTTGTCGCCTGTCTCTGCGAATCGTTAAAGTACGCCGGCACCGTGATCACCGCGTCCGTCACGCTACGGCCCAGGTACGCTTCCGCGGTTTCCTTCATTTTCGTCAGCACCATCGAACTAATTTCTTCCGGCGCGAACACTTTCCGCTCGCCTTTGAATTCCACCTGGATTTTGGGCTTCCCGCAGTCGTTTACCACTTTGAACGGCCATTGTTTCATGTCCGCTTGTGTCTTCTCGTCGTCAAACCGACGTCCGATCAAACGTTTGGCGTCGAACACGGTGTTCACCGGGTTCATCGCCACCTGGTTCTTGGCTCCGTCCCCGATCAACCGTTCCGTGTCGGTGAAAGCCACATAACTCGGTGTGGTTCTGTTTCCTTGATCGTTAGCGATTACCTCTACTTTTCCGTGTTGCCAGACGCCCACACAAGAATAGGTGGTGCCCAGGTCAATACCGATCGCAGTCTTTCCGACCATTTTATATTTCACCAATATTTCGTAGGTCTCGTTCACGCACAATTAATAAGAATAGATGTTAAACGAAAAACGTATAGAGTAATAGCAAACGATTCGATGATGATTTAAAAGTCGCTTTGATTCGCAATCAAGTCGCACTTGAATTACAGTGAATAGCACAGAATAGCACGAAAAAGTATCTCTCGTTCGATGTGTCGCACTAGTATCGCTTCGAAATTCAAACTGAAGCCGGGCGGCGCGCCGTTACCGTTTATATAGCCGACGGAACGTTCTAGAAGGTTCGATACGTTTCGCGAGCGCTGTCGCTGCCTCCGTGCCGTCCCCCTCGTTCACCGCCACCCAATTCTACGTTATTTTAATAACGGCCATCGTTATAGAACTTACTCGAATTTTCTCCGGCTTTCTCGTTGTTCGTTGTTTCACCGAGTCCTTGTAACATAATCAGATGTCTCTACTATTTTCTTTTCACTTTTCTTAACATTTAGATATTATGTTATTTTTATTATAGGTATAAGCCTTGATTATAGAATAGACTTTTTTTATAATCAATGGTTTTAGGTAGACTATATTCATAGGCCGAACTACAGTTTGGACCAAATGAGCCTTGGCCCATGCGAATCTCGCCCCGTACTAATATTCACAGTACATGTAATACATAAAATGGACGTAATAATATGTAATAAATAATAATAATATATTATAATATAATGTAGGTATCACATATTATACAAAAAAATATTTTTGAAAATAAGTAAAAGTATTCAAAATAAATATCATGATTTATTTCTTAGTAAATCAATAATTAATTATAATTTAACTGAAGATTTTTTTTACAGTGTTTTATTTATATATTTTGTTATTTTTTTCACTCATCAAATGGTTTCTCAGTTATAAATGTTATAATAGTGCAAGATGTCAACTATATGTTTACGACATACTCACCATATATTTTATTTATATAAAACAATAATTTTAGTAGGTAATAGTGGAATTTTCCAATCCTCAACACCTAAAATTTTTTTTGATTGCAAAAAAACTAAAATTGTTTATCTTCTGTTCAAATATCTGATTTTATCAACATTTTTATTTTTATTTTCAAAAAAATTTAATATTTATAGAAAAATTGTTGGTAGGTTTATAACCTGGGTTAACCTTATTATTATTTATTTCCAATATTTTTTAATTATTAGATATATGTAAATAGATTAAACTTATATTTTTAAGTTTGATGACTGAGAAATTGTTTTATCAATATTCTGATATAGAAAATTAAAAATTGAAAATGCTTATACAATATAATATATATATATATTTACTCTGTATTCTAGAGTCAATGGAAAATTTTTACTTACATAAATTATATTACTTTACTTGTACGTGTAAGTTGTACTCTTATGAATTCGTAACTTATACCTATCAGTATAAATAGTTATTGATAATCACTTTCTAAAAGTTAAATATGTCCATTTCATTTTATTAATAAGTTTAAATGACTAAGCATAGATGCAAGGTGATCAATTTTTTTTTTTGGAAAGGGGCTTTTTTAATGGTTGACATGTACCAAAACTCGTGGGGGTCAGCCAAAATTATTAAGGTTACTATTTTCCGAAGTGAGGGACAAAGCCCTCCCTTTAAATATGCCTATGTGATTAAGTCAGAGAAACTTTATCAATAATAAAAAAAAAAATTAGTTGAAAAATAATTAGTAGGTACTAATTACGATGATGGTCATATAATTTGTTTGTTATTACTTATTATTAAATGTCTATAAAATAAATGACCTATCAGTGTAAATTTCCATTATTTAATAATAAATCATTTTTACAAGTAAAATGAGGTGTAAGAATAGTCGGTTAAATTCATACCTATTAAATATCTAAAAACAAAATTTGCTTGGAAGTTTGTCAATTGTTAAGCAAAAAAAATGCATTAAAAAAAAAAAAATTACAAAATACTATACCTCAATATGTGATTTAAAACTCACATCAACGTTTTTATTTTAAGTAGGTCTATGGCCTGAGACGTTTTAAATGATAGGTGTGACGTGTGAATGTAAATCATACATTCGTTGTCCACAAATGATGTGTTAGAAAAAATATCTTAAGAAAAATTGATATACATTTTTGTAATATATTAACTAATTATATATACACTGATGTTATTTACATAATATATCTAATGTATTAACTATTAACCAAATGTATAAAAATATATTTTAAAGATTTTACACAGCGTGGCTTGATGAAGGATCTGAACCTGCAGAATGGAAGTTCTTTGTGCTTCTATATTTCATGGCTTATGACCGTGTAGAAATCTACGAATCAAGTAAAACGGGAAATACATGTAGACAAAACTCTTTCCCTTTGTTCTTAGGCAAAATTAGATTACCAAAGGATTGGTCAAATTTATCGCGTAAGTACTTCCTTAATTTTTTTTATAGCCAATTTTATTTTTATAATACCTAATAAAGAAAACTTTTCAGAACGAATTATAATTTATGATAAAACCTACACTACCTATTATTATAAAAATATAATTTAATAACATATTCTTTTTCTTTTTTTTGTCATATCTATCTATATTATTTCTTTATGCATTATTTTTATAAATTCTCCAATAAAACTAAGAGATATATAGTAGAATAATTACATGAAAAAATTAAATGAATAAAAACAGTTGAATAGGTAATAAATACAGATTCACATTAAAGTAAAATATATCATTAAGTTAATTATAATAATAATTGTAATATTTGGTTGCAAGATTATTTTAATTAATTAATATAATAATTAGAATTTTTAATAGCTTGTATTTAATATTTAGTAAATTTCCCGTCAATTTATTTGGAAACTGGAAACAAAGAATGTGAAGAATACTATCAACCAAAAGATTTTATCATAGGAAATACCATTTTTGTGATGGGTCGTAGGTATACACGTCAACATCGTGTTAAACTCTGGTACAAGATCTTAAATATCTATAAAAAATCTTATCTATTTTTTTAGATTTTTGCTTTACGACTGTGATCCATTTACTAGAAACTATTTTAAAAATATTTTGAAAATTATTCAACCTAGTTCTATTCAAGTCTTTAAACCAAAAGATAATTTTCCAACTGTATCTAAATTGGTAATTATACGAAAAAATCACTCAAAGTACTTTACCATTTAAGTAATATACTTTAATTTATATGAATTGATAGCAAGAGTTGTTGAAAATTTTATCTAGATAATTATTCGGATAAAATGATATCTTAATAATCAACTAAATAAAATTTCATTAGAATAACGCCCTACTCTGATTGATAGGTAATACCACCTCACACAGGAATTGGTGATCCAGATGATACACGCCAGAATTGTTTATCACTGATACCTAAAGCTCCGAAAACATTAGATTTTGTTACTTATGTGCTAAATGCTAGTAAAAAACTTAGATATAAATTGAAGATGGTACCAGTATATGAAGTAGATAATCTTCGTGATTTCATTATGGAATATTGCCTTGGCAATAATCAAATGACTATAGTTGAATTGGCTAGTAAAAATAGTGGATTCATTAAAGGACGTTTCATGTCATCTACAAGATTACGAAAACCAGGCACTAAAATTGATGAAGATCAGTTTTATGGAACCAAAGATTTTGCTATTGGTAAATATTCATTAAATTAGCTGCGTATTAATATTTGCATGATTTTATTGTATCACATGATGTGTATAATTATAAATTTGTTTAAATGTGAATAAAGTTTTTATATTCAATATGAAATCAAAATTAAAATTATCATAAATTACAATTATTACTGTTCTAGGTGCAGAATTACATGTAAGAGGATCAGTTTTTATAATTGTTGAGCTAGATCTATGGACATACAATTATATGAATGAAAATAAGGATAAGTTTACTCAAGAGGCTATTGACAAAGCTAAATGTTACCTTGAAAGTAAAGGTTTGCTAATTACACAGCAAAAACCAAATATCATCAATCAGAATTCAATAACTAAAAACATCAGTAAATCTAAACAGATTGAATCACTGGAAGACACTGTTTTGATTAATAAAATAAACCAATCCAATATTAATATTTAGTAATAGTAATGATTAACAATTTTAATATAGTAGTGATATATAATTAAAAATATAATGTAAGCATTTATTTATATTCTAATACAATGAAAAAAATTATCAGTTAAAGGTGGATAACAAATATAAAAAAATATTAAAATAAGTATTCATCACAGAAGTTAATTTAGTTAGTATAAATAATAAAAAAAAATAAATACATTTATAGAACTATCAGTGCAAATTATTAGTTTTTACAACAACCTTTGGAATGGGTACATTAAGAAGACCACAAATTTTGTTACGTTCTGCTCTTACTTTTTCTACACTAGAGTCTTGCCAATCAAATTCTTCAAGTAATTCAACGACTTTGTTTATATTTTCATCTGATACACCAAACCTATCTGAATACACAATTAAAACTTCTACTAGCCGAGCTGCAACCACTTTTCGTAACCAAGCAAATCTATGTGCTAAAAATATTGATAGTTGAGTCATTGAACGTATTCCAACTTGTCCAGGAACCTAAAACAAATAAGTATTTAACTTATTTTCAATAAGATATATTAAATTATTATTACCTGTACTATATGACAAAGCAATTCAACGCATGATGTCAATTTGGTAGAGCCTCCTTTAGAAGAAACCGCTTCTTTTTTTACAAGTGTTAATATATTAGCGGCAAATTCAGACTCATTACGTTCAAATTGATCTTTAAATGCTCCAGCTGTAGCCAGTCGTTCAATAGACATTAATATACACTGATGAATTCGTTCATCAGCATCAACTTCAGCTACTTTACCACCCCATACAGCAATAATGTCATTGCATAAATTTTCAAATTCATCATCAGTAATAGATTTCATGTGCTCAGAGAAATTATGACAAGCTTCTTTCACCTTAATAATTAAACATAAAATAATAATTAATGAAATGAAAATATGGTATGATAAATAAAAAATACTAACTAGACTTTCTGAAACACCTCCAATACAAACTAATAGACCAACCAAAACAGGGTACTTGTATTCAGGCATACTTAAAAATTTCACCATTACAGAAAAAGAGTCAGATTCTGTGAACCAATTAAATGAATCTTTTTTTCTAAACAATTTTTCAAGTTCGTTTCGATGAGCAATATTAGGAACAATATTTTCTTTCCTATAAAAACATTTGGAGTTATGTTAATTTAATAATATAATTATAAATATTTTCTTTCTAACCTGTGCAATAACTTTGTTAAAACCATACATGAAAGTCCTCGAATTTTATCTATTCGATCAACACCTTGTCTTACTAGAGCACACATAATTTGTTTCATTGTATTTTCATCTAGTATGCTAGGTTGAATATCAGTCAGATTCAATACTACTACCTAATGTAAATAATTGTACATTAATAAGAAACAACATAATGATGCATACTTTAAAATAAAATATGAAATAGTAATGAAATAGTAAATGCTAATACCTCTAAACTATTGATGGCAGCTTCTCTTACCCAAACACCAACATCACCTCGATGATCCATAGTATACTCTAAAGCACAGTCTAATAAACAATGTAAAATTGCATTTGAATGTTTTATACAGTTATCCACATAACCTGTAGCGTACATAACATAATAAAAATATTGAATAAATTATCATAAAAATTAAAAATTAAATTGGAACATACTAGGTGTAGAGATCAGTTTGGACCAAATTTTTGTTATAGCAATTACAGCATCTTTTCGAGATTCAGCCCACTTGATTGTTAATCGAGTTATTTTAGTACAGTCTATGAGACCTTTCAATATCAATAGGATATAATTATTCATAAATGAAGAAGGTAATGAACCCAATGCTAGGCTATAACCAATACGTTCCATCATATGATTTGAAGACAATTTTTGTACATATGTATTGATTATAATACCAGTATCAGATGAATCAGGGGTATAATATTTTTCAAATAAAGGACAAATGGCTTGTGCAGCCTTATTTCGTAAATCTAACATTTCATTTGACAAACAATCTTCTAGCAATAATCTCCATTCATCTAAATAAGACATAAGGAATTAATAATAATAGTTTTTTTGATAACTAAACTGTGTTTGTTTCAATTGACAACTATTTAAATGAATCATACCTATAATTTGTTTGTCTTTAACAATTATGTTACTTGTAGATATGAGTTTAATAAGGTGACAACATGCCATTTTTACTAACTCACTACTGATGCCTTTTAATTTTCCATGATTTTTCAAGTTAAGAACAAGATTAATTATTTTCTCTAGCAGTTCTTCTCCTAATTCAACATTAGGATCAAAAGTCTTGGATATCCCATTTAATACTTCTCCAATAGCCATAACACCTCCATGTCGTTTGTTAATGTTTGATGTTTCTGTTAATAATAGTAATTCTGGGAAAATTGATTCTTTAGCTATTGATGGTTTTAATTCTACAAGTCTTCCCAAAGCCTAGGAATACATTTATGTATTTTATACTATTTCATATTAAAAAAAAATATACATCATACATACCATTGCAGCCAATTCACGAATTGATGTGTCCCAATGAACTATTTTCTTTTCTAATAGATGTTTGATTAAAAGTTTATCGTACTCTTTGTACTGAGCAATAAAAATGCTTACTTCTAAATAAGCATTATTACGCATACCAACTGAAAAATAATCAGCTGCTGTCACAATATCAATTCCATGTGGAAATTTACCCTGACGACCAACATTTTCTTGAAACGCTGCTGAAGCTGCTCTACGGCATGTTAACTGAATTATAAATAGTTATAAATAATTATCAACAATCATTATACATAATTCAAACACATTTTAAATTTTTTATTTACTTCTCTGTCATAACAAGCAACTGCTAATAATGCACCAGCGATTTCTTCGACATATGGCTGAATGTCATTAGTACTAAATGCTCTTGCAAAAGACCAACAAACATAACATGCAGCATCTCTAATATGTGATCCAACTGATGTATAACCCTTAGGTTCATCATACACCAAAGCTTTAATAACAGCAGGTACAACAAGAGGTAAATTTTCACTGAGAAGTAAACCACGACGACCTTAAAAATAATTAAAAAATTATATTTTTATAATTAAAAATGTTATGTTTAAACATACCCAATTCAGCAAGTGCTAAACATCCTCCATGCCATGCATTATCATTTTCTTCAGGACTTAACATACTTAACACAGCATTTACTACTTCATTACCATATGTCTTTGATAAACGACCAGTAATTCGACCTACTCCTTTAGCAGCCGAATATCTTTAAAAAAAAAAGAATGTATAACAGCTCCGTATATAATAAAACGTGAATTTTAAAATAAACTATTATTAAGCTTACCTGACAATAATATCGGTATCTTTCAATCCTTCTATTAATTCTTGAATAATGTCTTCTAAAAGTGGAGGAATTTCATCATCATCTTCTTCAGTAATTAGAACATTTTTGGTTTCAATTTGACGTGGTTCTGTACTTAATAAATTCTGTTCTAATGATCTAGTACCACGATCATAACGCCATGTTGCAATTCGTACTTTTAGTAATGTTAAACCTTAGAAAATCAGTTAATAATTTTATTGATTTTACCAAGTGTAAAAATAACAAAGCACAAACCAGCTCTTTGAACAATTTTCATATAATATTTCCGTGTTAATCTCAAAGTATCACTTTTACATTTTGACAGTTTTAGGCATTCAAAAATGTCTTCTACAAATTTTTGAGCATCTTCTCGTCTGGCAGCTTTAAAAATAGCAGCAATGCTGCTCATTGCACCTAGTCTCTCCCATCGAGTTGCTTTTTCATCTGATATTTTCTATATATGTACACATTTTAATATCTATACAAGGAATATATTTTAATCAAATGGTTTTTAAATAAATACCAGTTTAACCCAATCCAAAAAAATTGGAAGATGTGATTCCTTAACATCTGATCGAGTAAATAGGCGAGTTGCTAAAACTGTAGCCATATCTCTACAAGCATCACCAGAACTCAAATATGTCATGACCACATCAACTAATCTATATTTTGAAAATAAGTTTAGGTAAAATATAGAATTATTTTTAATAAAAAAAAAAAATATTGGCAACCTAAACAAATAGTAAACCATTTAGATAGATTTAATTATAGACAAGCACCAAAAATATTTTTTTAAGCTGAGTATATAGTCATTTTAAAAACCTTTGTAAAGTAGTTTTACGCTCTATGTGCATGGTTCCATCTAGTTTACGCATATCAAATGGTATGATAACAATAATAGATAGCCATAACAAAAGACAATAACGAGTTTCCCAAGAGTCATGATCAGATTCATTTTGTTCCTCTAACATTTTTAAAACTTTTTCTAGGTCAGATACCTAAAATATATAACAATTATTAATATTTTAACACAATCATATAGTTCTTGAATACTTGTAAACTTACCTCATGTGGTAAATTTTGCAAAACAACTTTATAACCTCTAACACTAACCACTAAGAACAAATAACGAAATGCCTTATGCTTTAGTAGTGATGGTTTTGAATTATCACGTACAATGGACAAAATTTTTCCAAGTATTTCACACAAATATGGATCAATTAAATGAGGTTGTTCTGTGTATTGTGTAAGTATATACTTGAATTTTTCATATGAATTTTCACTTTGACTCTCATTTGAATAGATTTCTGGTAATTCATCAATAAAGTCAAGAATTTGTTTCCATTCTGTAAACAATACTAAACAGCAACCCAATCCAACACCTTCACTGGTATCATCTAATGAATCTGACATGGAATTAACGGGCAGAACCATTCTATGAAATATGATAAATTATTACAAGATTATTATAAGAATGACATTTACACAATAAAATTATAATGTGTATTATGTTATTATACAGGGAAATTCATCAAGCATTCCCCCATATCCTTAAATAATGCTTTAATTAAAGTTATGATTTTTAAGACTTAACAAATATTTCCCAAGCTTGTTGATTTTGCAACCCACAATTAGACCTTTCTTCTGTGAAACAACCAAATTTTTTTTTAGTTTCATTGTAATACTTTTGTTATTTTTTGCTGTAATGTCATACAAAATCTACCAATCGGGTTTTAAGCCATACAAGTTTCACTCTAATATTGTATTGAATATATTATTTATTATAAGCTAATAACAACAAATATATATTCAGTATATTTTAATCATTAAAAGTATTTCATATATATTTTTGTAATAAATATATAAAGAAAAGGAAAAATATTTGGGATGTCAAAATTAAATATTTATAAAAACTAAAAATGTTCTCGTTGATAAATAAAACTAAATTTGCATACTAAAAATTTCAAGTTAACAAATGTAACTTGATTATAAATAATATTTCAATTAAAATTTTCAATTTTCAAGTATATTAAAAAAAAAATTTGAATAATAATCATAGCCTGAGATTCAGTATAACCATAGAATATAACTATGTAATTTAATCTTAAAATATGCCTGTGACTTATCAAAAAAATGTAACCCCCATAGGTTAGAAAACACTTTTTTATACCATTTAAGAAATGTTATGTGGTGATAAAAATGTCTTTATTTCAAATAAGAAACTCCCTTTGTTACTGCAAATTGTTAAACAAATTAATGCATCTCCAAAAAAATTTAAGTGAATAATCTCTGAGAATGAGTATGTTTGGTGAATTATCTTATAAGTTACTGCATCAATCATTGTTAGTTATTTTTCAAGAATATAATAACAAAAAGATAGACATTTGTTTGTACTACTATATTTTAATATTTATATACAATATAACTATGTATCTGCATCTTTAACCTATATTTCTATATAATACATTTATAAATCTATGATAAAATTATAAAATAAATTAGTATATTATTTACTTATTAAAACTAAGAAAATATTATGTTTATTATAATATAAGTAAAATAAAACATATTTTATTATTTTATATAAAAAGTCATGGCTTAGTTATGAAGCAATTACTTCATAAGCTATCTAAATTATATTAATCTTCAAATTAATTATGATGAATTTAGTTTTGGAATAAATGCTGATTTACTAATAATTTAATTAAAATATATTAAATAGGTAAAAATATATGTTTAAAATTACCTTAAAAGTTAAATGATATTATTTTTTTTGTTCAAATCACAGTTTTACTCATAATAGTTACACAAAATAATATTCAAATGTGTAGCATGTAATATATTACCTACTAATAACTTGAAATAAAAATGTAAAATTAACGAAATAATTAAAACCATAGAGAGTAGTAAAAACTCGATAACTTTCAAAACGATTTTAAAATGTTGTCTCAAGAATAAACTATTATTTATTTATTAATTAACACACCGTTCAGTTATCAGTGCTTATCACATAACAGATATTTTATTATCATAAATAAAATGTAAACGTCATAAACTTATGTCCGAAACTTAATTACTACCTTTGTTCTACAGTATACTTGTTCCAACCCACAGATATATATATATATATATATATATATCTGTGTTCCAACTTCCGACCTCGTGGTTCTAACCACGAATACGAATGAATAAACAACTAGTGAAAGGAATGTCCGTGAAGTAAGCTCCCACACAGAGTCCCACAGACATAGGTTTATTTTAAATTGCAATATTTTACATTCTTATAACTCACCTAAAAATTTAAATTAAAAAAAAAAAGTAAAAAATAATATACAATAACATATTATTTTTAAGATATTCCACTTGTTCAAGTAAAAAGTATATTAAATTATAGCTTTGAAATACGTATTATTTATAACTAGCTGAACTACCCGACTTCACCCGTTGTGTAATTTGTGCTTTCTCTAAATTTTACTTAATTTTATCAAGTGCTAAACAATAGTAGTAGCTGAATTATAAATAAAACAAAAATTTAATGATCCCTCAAAGGAGTTATTTGATACAACTCGGTGAAAAAAAATTGAAAAATCTTAAATAGTATCGTCACAAAATATAAGAACATAAAAAAGGGCTGTTCTTTTATACATATAAGATACAAAGATATGTATTCTTATAAAATATGCAAACTAGTTTAATGTTCTAATTACTAATTAACATATATTATAAAAACAAAAAATTTGTATAAAAGTTTCTTTTGTTTAGTATTTAATATATTATAATATACCTAGTTTATGTCATTATGTGTACTATACATAATACATTCATTCCTACAAGGTGTACATAGCTGTCATACACTTTTCGTAAGTAATAACGACGCAATGAAAATTACACTTCAATTCACTTCACTATTAATATTTTTTTATTAAACCCTGCAGGTCCACTCCACAAAATGTATTGAAGTACATGCAATAGAAAAATGTTAAATGCTCATTAGTCATTACTATATGATTAATTATATACATTACATGGGTAACTAATACTCTCAAAAATATTATTTTTTTAAACTGTTTGGTCGAAATATTTTAATTTAAAAAGCATTATCATTTTCTTTTTTAAAACATTCTTTTAAGATATAGTAAATTGATACCTAACCTAACCTAACCTACATACTCGATAATAATCGTTACAACTTTCAATTTCATAATTTGCTCTTAGTGAATAATTTTTTTACTACTCTGGGACATGTAATGATAAAATTTTAAGCAATATAAATTAATTTAACATCGTTAAATGATGTTTGAAAATTGTATCAGTATTATTTTGACAATTAACAAATAATTTTAGTTATGAATTAATATGTTAGCTGATTTTATATTGAGATGTTTTGTCACACCTTATAACATATTTGTCACAGGTTTTAAAATAGCACTGTATTTCGCCATAATAATTATAGAAATCAATAATGATGAATTTGAGGCTGCAGAATATAAGTAATGATCTCATTGTCTTATATTCGAATTTAAATGTACTTAATTATTTGATAATGATTTTAAATTCGTCATTATCGAAATAAAATGTTTTGAAAATTCTCTTGTACTTGTATAATTGCAGTTGAGCTTGTACGACAAGTACCTACACTAAATTAGTTCAATGGTCTATCGTAAATTGTAAAGTTTAGATAAAATAACTAACTAATTTATATCTATATTATTTTAATAATATTAAATAATATTGTATTTTTGTGCAGCGAATAGCGATCAATTGCCAAGTGACCACTCAAATACTACGATAAAATATAAGTTTTATATAAAACAAATATTTTAAAATTTGTTAGATAATTCTGTTGTGGTAAATAATGTTTGGACTATTAGATTTTAAATTCTAGGGGGACAAGTGTACCATCTTAATTATACCAGAGGATGCCTATGTATATAATATTTAATATAATAATATTATCTACAGACTGCAATTAATTATTTGGAAATTTAGAAAATATCCTCCAAACATCAACTTATTAAAGAAGATTTCTGACAGTATTTTTGATCTAGTTTATACTTTAATAAGTTAAATACTATTATCAGTGCTTCATAGAATAATTTGAAAAAATAAAACAAATATGAAGATTTATTATAATTATTATCCAATTGTGAGATTTGAATCTTGAATATAAATATATTTATGAACTCCTTATAAGTTATACTTAGGCAATTAAATTTGTTATATTACGGTTACCATCTTATCAAGAAGTGATAATGAGAGGTACAACTATTATCAAAAAAAATATCATAAATCGTGATCGTACCATTGGTATTTTCTATGGATTGTAGTGAATACTGAATACTGAATACTGAATAGTGAATAGTGATTGACGATTGTACTATTTCTCAGTTATTATCAGTTAGGGTCATACCTCAGTTTACTTAGTTTTTTAATTAACCATTATTTAAACTTTTAAGTATGTAATATAATTATTACCTAGTTTATTAGTAACAATCACAATAATTATCAAAATCATGTTTAGACGAGCCTGTAGTTCTATTTTATCCGGTTAGTAATATAATCTATTAATATTTGATAGAATATTTTAAACTTAAATGTTTGTTTAAGAATTTAGATATATCTAGGTATTGAACATTTATCATCAATTCATCATAACTAAATTGTACTAAATTAGTAGAAACCTATTAAAAACATTTTTTACCCTCATGTTTTGTTTTTGTCTTACTAACATACAGATATAAAATAGCAAATTTTAATTCAGTTGAACCCATTATGTCTTGTTAGCTTTAAAAATAGAGTATAATTAACCTTATATCAAAGTTAAAGATAAGAACATCTATGCTTAAGTGTTGGCTGTTATTGATATTTTAATTTTTAAGCAGATCTAAATATTGTAATTATTACGAGTTAAAAATTAAAATATTTAAAAAGAAGATAATGCTTAAGCACAGATAACGTTTTTACTTCTTACTTTAATACTAAGTTAATTCACTCTAATATTGAAGCTAACAACATAGAATAAGTTCTATTATATGCAAATTTGTTATGTTGTATGTTTGTAATAATATTACAAACAAAAAATAATAATATTATGGAGACAACTATTGTTGGTATAGTGTCCTTTTAAGTTTATATTATATTTGTTACAAAGTTATTAAAAAAAAACTATAGAATGGAGAAGTATTGAAACATATATAGTATATTCATCTCACTTTTTAGGACTTACTGTGTTATGCTATAAAAATTTATGTTCCATTATATTGATTTATAGTATTCTAATCTCTCCACTATAAATTTATTCTTAAATCTTAGAATTTTAATAACTTAATATTATAAACTCTTAAAAAAATACTTAAATATGAAGAAAAAAATAAAAACAAAAAACAAAATGTCCTCTTCTCAATTACTTCCGTGTTATTTTGTTTATAAAATACTAGGTATTTGTGCCAATTTTGAGTATATTATCCAATGATTAATTGTCAGTGGTTACCACTATGTCGTTTCAATAAAAATAAAAACTATCAAAATAAGCAAAAATATAGTTGGTGTTAAGATATGGCTAATAATATTTTATATTTTCAGGAAGTGTTCGCCTTATGCGGCTACAAATAGAGAATGTTCCAAGTAAAACTACAGGGTATAATTTATTTAGTTCTGTAAACAAGAGCTTTACCAATTTTCAAACAAATAGGTTCTATTCGTCCATTTTATCCTCCAATTTTAAATCAACTGAAGGAATTTTGAACAAGAATACATCTATTGCTCATCCTAATTTAATGTAAGTGCTACCTATATATAATTTATATAATTTAAATTTATAGCATATTAGAAGATCAAGCATAACTGAGAAATAGAAATTTATGTTATTGATTATTTATTAATTATTAAATTAATTTGTGAAGTAATATAGGAATTAATTTTTGTCAAAATTTAAAACTAATAGTACTTAAGATTTGATTTACAACCTATAATGCTTCCAACTAAACTTACACTGTATAACAAAATACTATATACATACTAACATTTATATTAGTATACTGTGTAAGACTTCAGACAGCCAGTTTTTGTGGTGGCAATGGATATGGAAAATGTGAGTTGAGTGTCATGGTTTTGGAAGCATCAGTTCATTATTCCAACAATAACCTGGCTTACATTTTGATAAGATTTATTCAGAAAACCAATTTTAGAAGTGTGATCTGATTATATTGGATAAATATCTATCCTCGCTAAAGAATAAATTTATATGAGACTGTGTAAACATGTTTAAAAATTCTTTACAAAGAATTCGACAATATCAGAATATATTATATTATTGAGTAAAAATTATTATTAATTAAATTTATAATAATTATTTAAAGTTACTATACTTGTATTGTGCTTATTAACAAATGTATCTTATTTTAGGCTTGATTTCAATCTTCAACAAAACAGAAACCTAACCAAATTTTCATTAAAGAAAGGGAAAAGGAAAACTGTTAAAACAGTTATTGATCGATTTTATCGTTTAGGATGGTAATTCTTTAAATATTTATCTTTTTTACTTAATTATAATTTATGAATTTAAACTATATTATTCTTTATCTATCTAATTTTTAATTTTTAGTTTTTGAAATATACTAATACAGGTGTTTAAATTATATTTTATCATTATTTTATTCAAAATTTATAAATTTACTTAATTCAGACTGAATATATTTTTAATATATCAAGGTATTTTTTTTTTTAATTACATTAAAATAAATATTTGAAACTCAAAATAAAAATAATGCACCATTTATTTCAACATATTTTTTTGTTTAACGTTAATGTACTATATACATTTTTTAGGGGTATATGGATTCGAACTAAATGTGGACGACAAAAGAAGATGTGGAAAAAACCAGCTGCTAGAAAACGAAGACTGAGACAACATGTATTCTGTAACGCCAAACAGTCTACTCTTTTAGATAAAATGACTACAAAATATTGGAAGAAGAGGAGGTTTTATCCAGATGATCCATATGAACCTTACCATGATAGAGAAGAATTTCCGTTAACTAGAAAAACTCCAATACCTTAGTATAAAACAATCGTAATATATTTAATGAGTTGTAAGAAATATAGAATTAACACGTCATAAATATATAATTTATAAATTATATTCAAATTATATGTTTTTACTTAATATCATCTACTATAATAATCAAAATATTTTTAAACCCTAAAAATAACAAAGGAACATATTTTACTTGTAAAATTTAATTTAACTAACTCTTTGTTGTTTTTATAAGAGTTATTGGTATTGTTAAAAACACTAATAAACCAATGAGTGCAAGTGATCCACTGCTAAATGCCAAAACATCTCTATAATAATGTGAACATTTTTCCAAATCTGTGCATTTCCTAAACAAAAAAAAAAAAAAAATTAAATTTTCATTAATTGTTCAAGATAAAATACAATTTGTTTAACTCCTTACATGAATTCTATTCCAATGATAACTAAACCATTAATCAATTTGTCAGAAAATGTGACAGAACTATATATGAAAGCTCCGCAATCAGTATTATTTCCAATAAGGTTTGCAGTAACACTAAGGCTCAACACTGAAGTTATTGCACTTCCTGAACCTAAGAAATAAATAGTAAATAAAATTAAATAGTTAATATTTTTATAACTTTAATCTTAATAATTATATAATTATTTAATATTTAAATATTATAGATACAAATAATATGTTTAATTATAATGGTTCTTAAAACAATATCATACAAACAAAATACACATAATTCACTGTTTAAATCTTAATTATAATTTAGAAAAAGGTTGGACCTGCTTTTGTGAAAATGTATTATTTACTAACTTACTGTACTTAAATAACAATTATAATATAATTATGTACAATTATTTAACCTTCCAGCTTAAAATAAAATGGTATGTATATTATGCATTTAATAAAAACTTATACAGATTTTTTCAAGACCAAAATGGAAATATGGTTAAATATGTACCTTAAAAATAATATTTAAAAAATGTGAATACAATAAATTATACATTGCATAATACATACATTATAAAAACCGTTGTATAAATGTATTCTGTTGTCAGCTGAGTATAATATACTTTAATATTTACTTTATTTAATAATTAAAAATGTATTACCAAAGCATACAGCAGCTAAACATAAGTAGCGATAAGTCAATTCATTATTAGGATTGAAGAATACCAATAATGATCCAAAAATTGATATTACACTTCCAATTGTAAAAATCACCTAAACACATAAACAAATATTACCCTAAATGATACATTATTAATTAATACAATAATAAGTATATAATTTCTTGGGAGATTCAAACATTTTATTTTTTTTGTTAACATTTTCTAAATTGTTTTGTAATCAAGAATATCATACTAATATATATATTGCATAGAATTATTTTTTTGAAATTTTTTGTTTATTGAATTAAATTTATTTAATTAAAATTAGTATTGGATTAATAGGTACATATTTTTATTTAAATATTCACCTAAATCCAAGTTATACAATACATCAATACATTAATCCTACATTTAATTGCTATACATTCTTAAACCTAAAAGCACAGTCTTACTAAACTTATCTTCACCTTAGGTATCATTTAGAATGGAAATGACTGTAATATGGGATAAGTAAGTGATTTATCTAGATTGCTTATGTTAAGAAAATATTATAAGAACCCTAATTCTAAGTAAGTTTTTACTACTTAGTAGTAAAGTCTAGTAGTGGGCATAGATTTTACTTACTGTGTATTCACTAAAATAAATGATAATTTATAGATATTATTTACTAATTATTTATCGAAAAAAAAAAAAGTAGTATAATAATCAACTTTGGGAATCATGTATTGTAGGAAATTGAATCAAAGATAAAAATATTTCAGTATCTTTCAAAATTTACTTAATCTTGCATAACTATTTCTCTTCAAAATATTTTTGATATATTGTTGTAATTAATAAACGTAAACCTTAAGAAACTCAAAATTCTCACCAAAATTTTAAATGATAACATTTTCAAAATATTTCATCTTTTTTTGAGTTATTTATAGACATTTTCAATTTTTTTTTAGTTTTTTTCTATAGATTTTGATTACTATTTCTTGCTTAGTTAAAACCTTAAAAGCTTGAAAATTTAATATGAGATCTCACAGAATATTTTAATATAGATTTTTAAAAATATTTTAAATATAAAGGCACAATTGATTCTTATAAAAGTATTTTAAATTCAAATTTTGATAAAATTCTTCCAAATCACAACAATTTGTAAATGGTCTTACAGTAAAAGTTTTATAAAAAGTACAATTTTTAAATTTAAGGCTTGAAAATTTAGTACAAAGTTCCTTAAGTATTTCATATTAAAATTAACAAAAAAAAAAGTAACTAAATGTCTAATTTTTTTTATAGATATTTTAAGTTTAATCTTGGATGAAATTACATATTTAAACTATAATTATGATTATTTTGTTCAAAAACATTATTCATACGGACAATAGACATTGGACATACAAATTTTATGAAGTAATGTTATTGTATTTTAAACACAATATTTTCAAGTGCAATGTTTTTAGTAAAAATTAATTCATCCTACTGAATTACTTATTGTATAATATCTAAATTACTTTATCGTATTTACATAATAGTAATATTAAAAAATATGACATGAAATATATTTAGTGATATCATCGATTGATAGATCGTCCTCGCTCTATATAATTTTTCATATACGATGATATTAATATATCAATATCGAATGTATTATTGATTCAAATTTAAAACATTGATCACTGATCAGTCACCTAAATCGACATCTCTGTAGTCTGTACAGCAGAGCGGTACTACTTGTCACTTTTTTTTTATATATATATTAGTGTTTGATATTCAAATTTTGAAAAAATAAATCAGTTAAACAAATAACAACAATTTTTTCTCGAATAATTTTAGTCAGTTTAATATAATTAAAAAATATTAACCATGAGGATTTGAGATTTTTGCTATTACTTATATTATGACGTTTATACTCTACTTTTAAATAACACTCATAAATCATAAATCATAATGCTCTCTTTATTGATAATAGTACCCGGTAGGTACCTAAAGCCGAGGAGTTTTGGTTTTTAAATTATTTTTAAGAGAAAAAGGAATAGAATAGCAGTGCATATTGACTAATAATGAACCTTTACTCCTTTTTTCCCTTTTTTAAGAACAGTTTGTAAATTGTAATAACCAATATAGGTTATTGTATTATACTATTATAGCCTTATTATTTGTTTTATATTATATATATATAATTTATTCATGTATATGATTACCATATTATACAGCTTGTAAATCGTTTTAATAATATTTTACTCTCATCTTAATATAAAATACTATTTGAACTTACTTTATCAGATTTAAAACACGGTTTAACATATTCCACGCCAATAGATGTGATCAAAGAAGACATATACGCCATTAACGGTACGCTAGCTATGGTACCAGATTCGTCAATAGCCGATTCATTGATAAAAAGTGGTATATAAATTAGAGCTATATTTATCAGTAGCTTACAAGTCGTAAACACAATAGCCACTTGATACAGGTGAACATTTGTACAAAATTTTAATATTTTATTGAAATTTATCTGTCGATTCTGCCTGTACATCAGTTTCTTATTAATATTTCGCGGGGTTTTCAGCAACCCGTGGAAAATAAACGCAGAAAACACTCCAATCGCAGTAGCAATTAATGCTAACATCTAAACATAAGATTATAAATTACATAAATAAATAGTAAATACATAGACAAATCAATAAACACATGGTTTATATATAGTATAAAATGATATGTATTACAATTTATTCGTTTTAAGTGAATAGAATTATAATAATATGGGTGTAGTAGGTATTGTTTACTTTCGATTTATTTAAAAACTAACTTGAAATTTTTCTGAGTCATTAGGACCAATGAGACTACCCACATTTCCGTTATTCCGTATACCTCTAAACACTAACCAAGCAATGAGGAACATTAAAATATTCGTGGACACTGTGAATACGTATCTAAAAATACAAAATTTAAATTAGATATGACGTAGGTATCACGTGATACCTAGGTATAATATTATATACCCAGGTGACTATATAAGTTATAGGTGGCTCTAATAATGAAAATAATATTATTTTCTCGCTTATTGGGCGATGAATGATTAATTAACCGCTACCTATATAATATGTGTAACGGTTATTCATATATAATATTAAATATCTAAAATATCTTGTATAACAAATAATTATATAATAAATTATATCAAACGCACCTTGTTGATGTTAATTTGCCTCTCTCTAAAGATAAATCAGTTAGTTCTGGTATCAACGACAAATGAGAAATTTGGACAAGAGCCCAGGCGATTTGAAATGTTAATATCGCGCAAATATAAATCAAGGTAATTATGAAAATCGGTAGATTCCAAACGTAATATATTAACGGAAAACTTATGGCTTCCATCACAGTGCCTAGAAATTATGTGAATGTTTAATTAATTCTAACTTATGTAATAACTAATAATATTTAATTATAAAAGTTATTAACAAAAATACATTTATATTATGCTTACATATATTAGGTAAAGTCATATTTACCTAACAGCACCCAATTTTTCTTTTTTCCAAATTTGTCAACCATAATTCCCACAAACGGTGTTGCTATTGCGTCTACAGTTTGACCTGCACTTACAAAATTAGTTTATAAATAATGCACGATGTAACTTATACGTACAAAAATGAAAAAATGACTAAAATAATCAATAAATGTCAATTAATTGTTTTTATAATAGATCATAATATTATAGTTATATTTACTTAAACTACAACAATACAACGTAATATTAATTATTAAACCTAGGGCTATGGGTATATTTGCGTTATTTTTTTTCATTCCGGATATTTTATTTTAAATTTCTAGAATTTATTTTTATGTGTGTACAATATAATAATTATTAAAATATTATCTTCGTATTAACTCATATAATGATTTAAACAGACTAGTGCTTTTACTATAAATCTAAGATTTATTATAAATGTAATTCCATAACTTTTACTTATGCCAGAAACTCATATGTTTACGTAAACTATTAATTATAATCTTATTTTATCACCTAATGGTTTAGTCTATGACTTAGATTTTATCCACATCCTACATTTAGCTTCCTCTAATCTGTTAGAGCTTGTTGAGATGTTTGTTGTATAAAACTAAAAACCTTAAGTTTTTAAAAACGAGTGCATACGAGTTTAAACTGTATACGTCACTAAAGGCTTTTAAACTGTGCATTCGTCAAACTTATTTTAGAATATAGGTCTATCCTCCTCTGTAGGGTGGCCAGATTAAATTTTAAGAAATCCGGTACATCAAAAGTATAAATGATTACAAATAATAATAGAAATATTAATGGAATGTTGTACACTGTACATTGAAATCGTCAATAGCTTTATTTTTTTTTAATTAATGGAAAATTATCTTGCAACTTTTTACTAAAATGATAATCTTTTATGCGGTATAGTCACTACGTAAAAAAAATGATCTAGAGAAAACTACGGTACTATTAAGTATAAATCGTACAAAACTGTTAGTAGATGTCACTTACATACGACGACTGAACTAGTATTGTCAGTAAATAAATGCGTACTGATGTACAAACTAATAAACTATAGGTACATTATATTAAATACATATTAATAATATCTTTCGTAAATCGTAATCATAGTTCTCGAAATTTAAAAATCATAACATGATTTTTACCCTACTTGAAATTAATGTAGTCAGAAATTGAAGGCAGAATATTGGCTAAATTCAGAAAGCGATTATTACTATTATCGTCGTACGTTCCAACGTTCATCATAAAATATGGTTATAATAACTGATATTTACGATAAGGTTTTGATCAAAATTAAACCGGTAACTTAGTAAGTAAAAGAATTATGAAAACAATTTTAAATTCTGGTACATAATAGTACATAACTAAGCAATAGTCCAAAACTCGTACAAATCGGTATCCTGATAAATTTGTCTGGGACGTAAAGACATGAACTACTAAATAGGTAACGTTCAGGAAATTCAAGACGAATGGCTACTCTAATCCTCTAGAACCCTTCGGCGGCTACATTTTATTACTCACTCGAAAGAGTTCAACACAAGTTGCTAAAATTTGCTAGCTTTGTTCTCAAAATGAATTGTCCCCCTCATAACTACACTCCAGTATTAGTACATCTGTGTTTAGCTTAAAAAAAAAAAAAAAAATGTTTCAGCACGCCAATGATTCCAATTTTTTCATTGAAATGATAAGTATTAAGATACATAAAAGAACATTTGTTATTTTTTTATAAGACTATTAGTGTATGCATATTTTTGAAGATACTAGTTAAATTAGAGTAACAAAATGTGTAAAAACTAATACCTATGTAATTTTTAAGGAGTAAACTGGTTTTGTTATGTTGATATCAAAAATTGACTTGGCGTTTTTTGTATATTTCAGTGTGTTCATTTTAAACGTAAAAAAATTGTTGAAACGCTTCACTAGTTTTCAGTCATTATTGCAAATGCTAATCGAACATGGTTAGTCCAATAGGCAATCTAAACTCGTTTATTTAGTTTAAGGTGTACCTATATATCTGTGTGACTGTGTATATCTCAACTTCAGATTAATTAGAGTGAGCCAGATCACACATGCAATCACATGCCAATTTTTATCGGTATTATAGGTACCTCACATTGTAAACAAAATTCTACCTAGAATATTTTGGCTTTTTAAAAATTTGTTTTTAGACATTTGAAATGTTTTACTATTTTATTTATTAATAGTAGGAATAATAAGAAAAGCTCAATAGAACAGAATGTGTGTGTATAGATAGAAGATATATAATATTATAAAATAAATTAAGTAGCAGTGTTCATGAATTTATGACTTATATCAATACAAATTTTGTTCATTTTTAAAATGCTTAAAAATTTAACAAGTGACCTAGGTTATTCTTAAAGTAGTTCGAATACATATAGTCAACATTTTTTTATAAAGATTTGAAGTTCAAATTTTAAAGTAATTAGGTGTATGAAAAATATAGATTTTTCATCATATGGTTTCATTAATTTTATTTTAAAATAAAATGCACATTAAGAAAGATTTCTTTAAAATGTGAATTTTAAAGAGGGGCTCACAATTATCATTTTGTTATACAGAGTTGCCATTTTGGTTACAGAAAATAAAATAGGTACCTAGTTATTAAAAATTAAATCAATTTTAGAGCTGTATTTTATACTTGGTCAAAACTACCTAGCACCCAATTAACTTTGCGCTTAACACACGCATTTATATTGTTATTATTGTGTTTTGTTTGATTACAGTTCGATTGTTTAGTTATTTTAACATATTATTTTATTAACGTCTTAAAGTTAACGGTCACATCTCAGCAATAAGCTTATCGTCATGAACAGATAAATGTTTGACTTTCTTCTACCACCTATAAGTTTTAAATTAATACCTATTTTTGATTTATTACTCAATAATACGCGTTTCATTATTTAAATATAAACACATAATGTGTGTGTAATGAAGTCAGGCAGATATATAATATACTTGTAGTATGATTATTTATTATTATGTATCGTGCAAATACTAGCCAAAAAATAGCAAAAATCCAGCGGTGGTTGCGGGCACACCAACAACGTTTTGCATGAACACCATGGTATAAGAGAACCAAATGGCCGCAGTGATGTCGTTGAACACGTGTCCAAAGCCATAGGCAACGCGACGACTGATATCCACGGGCAGCTGACGATGATGCAGCATGCGTTCGTTGAATAATTGATCCTCGGCCGCTGACGAATGGTCATCCTCTTCACTCAGCAACCGTTCGTATTCATCACCGCAATTCTCGCACCGATCCATCATCGTGTATAACGATTGTTATTATCGAGTCGTATCAAACCTAACTGTGATTATTGGTTACAATCAAATTCAAATTAAAAATATGAATTTACATGTTTGAACTAGGGAAAAATCTAGAGACTAGAGTGAAGATCTGTGGGGGGAGTATTTATTTAAATGTAAGTGTATTTTATAAATATAATCAAATCTATCATATGAGCGTATTTTTGAATTATCATATTGATATGGTTAAAATTTAATATTGCAGGGTCTTCCAAATGTTGAGCACTTGTATGACAAAAATATCGACGATTGCGTAAGAACCAATAAAATTCTCAAACAATTTTTATGTCACAACATTTGCAAGACTTTGTTTATTGTATTATTATATAATAAACAAACAAAAAATTAATTAGTTTAAGTATTCTATAATACTATAACTTTAAATTTCTCTTATTTTTGTGCTTAAATATAGTAATAAATAAATAGGTAAAGGTAAAGTTATAGTTAATAAAATATAATAAAATACAAATATTATGTAATAGATATCTAGAAATAATTAATAAATACTGTATTTATTAAAAAAATTTTAAATTCAAGACTTGTAATAAATTTATAAATGCATACCTAGTTATTTTTACTTATAATTTATAATTTATTTAATTAGGTATTAATATGTAAAGATTAAGTATTTCTTAAAAAAGTGAAATTATATAAGAATGCGGTGATCCCTAAGGGAAAATTCTTTTCCTCTCGCTTCTTTGGATCTATCATTGATTCGAATAACACATAGAAATTGTTTTTATCCCCCATGCGATTTAACGATATATCATGTATAATTATATAAGTAGTTACATGCATAGGTAATGTTTAATTTACGATAAATAAATATATAAACATGTACGTAGGTACCTGAAATACGCATTATAATAAAGTTTAAACCGTATTATGTTATTGGCACTTTTCCTCCACGCAGATGCACATGAACTTCAGACCTCGGGTATTTTAGTAGGTATATAACATCTATCGGTCGTCTCTCGGTGCCGATATAGTATAAACTATGTACAATTGGTACACCAACCGATTTATAACACGCGGAAACGATGGCGATTACGATATTTAAATATTATATTATCCGCAGGCATACAATTATGTCGTTATTAACGATTATCGGGAAAAAAAGCAAGCTGACCATGCTGCACGAACCACCGACAAACACTGAGTTGCGGCTTTCGACGGGTTTCTTCGGTGATGGAAGCCCGCGCGGTTCCACCGACTTGTTGTGATGTAACCCGAACCAAAATGTACATAAAACTAGATATATAATAATAATGTACATACAATATTATTACAAGTGTAGGTAGGTAAGTGGTACCTACGCCCGTAGTTAATAGTGTCCGAGTTAGTCGTGTGTAGTCGTGTGTGGTGGGGCCGACGGTCACGACCAGCTCATACAGTATAGACGTATAGTTGTAGCGGCACTACTGGTCGCGTCCGGCTTCTTCGGCTTCTTTAGGGTTCACCACACGTCATAATATATCATGTACAAATATACAATAATACGTCTATATAGAAAATAATGTATACGTCGCATTTATTATTATAAAAATCTTAAGTTATAAGTTATAACTATGGGCGTCCCCAAACATATTTCTAGGGAGAGGCAAAATTAATTTAAAAAATAAATGAAGATTTTTTATACATTATTACATTAAGGATTGTTATTATACATTTTATTTACTGAACATTATTGTTTTTCGTCATTATTACAATTAGGTAACAAATTTAAAATTCTAAGGGAGGCAAGTGCTCCGTCTTGCCCCCCCCTCCCTGGGAACGCCAATGGTTATAACTAATAACACTTAAATATAAAATAATATAGATATATGTGTATGCGCGCACATTAATACACATTTATATTACCTTACTACCACTGTCTATGGATGACGATAAATACTATTAGATTTGTAGCCATAGTCTTTCCAAAACTATTTTTGATGATAATATTTGTTTAGAATATCATCCACGCAATCTGCCCATATTCTAGTACTGTTTAAGAATTCAAGTCACCACTTAATGTATCTATATTATGTTGGTCGTAAATCGTTGGTTGGAATTTTAATAGTTTTATAATAGGTACCTTATACTTAGCTATCTATGTTGTTTTTACTTTCTTAAAACAATTACACTTGTACTTCAAAAACCTGCCCTAATTCTCTCATAGATCAAAAAGATTTAAATATTTTAAATCAAAAACATTTTGTCGTTTTTTCATAATTTTTACAATTTCACGATTAAATTATATGATAATGCTAAATGGTTGAATACTACTACTCCACTATTCAGCAGTCAAATTTAATTCAAAACGTTTATGATGCTGGTCTTTTTAATGATTGATGAATCAAGAACATTTATCTAGCATCTAATAGTATCTTATAAAATTTATTATCCTCAGGTTGAGGTATAAAAGTATTTTATAATTAACACAGGTATTTATGTCTAAAGACACATCTCAAAATTTAAATCTATATATGATAGCTTGAATCATTAGTTTTTACTAATCATTACCAATAAAAAATTTAGATAATAATTTGAGGATACAATTAAACTAAATCATGAATATTAATAATTTTAATCATGTAATTATTGGTATAATATATTGTTAGGTATTAATACATTGTAAAATAAACTTTGTCTTAACTTTTAATGACATAATGATCACATACAGTTTCAGACTACTATAATTACTAGTCTATAATAGACTATTATTATAGTTGAATACATTTAAAATAAAATATATCAAAATTATAATTACAAATGTAAGCAAATTTTTATACTTAATTTAAATTTATATACATATTCGGTTAAAGTTAATTAATACCATAAACATTATATGTCTTTAAACAGTATTTGCAGATAAAATTAATTAGTTCAGTTCTAATTTTCTTCACTAAGGCCATATTTCATTTTAACTTTTTCTAATTCTGCTTTCTTCTTGTCTGTATCCAATTTTTTAAATGCTTTGGTAGACTAAACAATATAAAACACAGTATATTAATACAACATTTTTACAAACAATACAAATGAAAATAATACCTGATAATATAAGACCACTAAGTATCGATTGCACACATTGAATCCAGATAAGTGATCACAAGCATTTTTTGCATCAAATATATCTTCATATACTACAAATGCTGTTCCTCTTGTATCTGGAGTATTGCCTCTATAAAATAAAAATAATAATTAACTAAATATTAGATAAAAACAAAATTTATAGCATTAAACTTTTAAAAACTTAACACGAGTGCATTAGATTAGAACATTTAAATAATTACATTACAGTGCAATATAAATAGTAAAATAATATAATACATAAAATTTTGCAAAGTTTAAGAATGTATTTGATTTTTTGATACAATGGAAAAATAAGACACATCTCTATAAATGTATTTTATAATAATTTAATTGATATTTCAAATTCCATTCTATATAAAGGCTATTGTGATCATAATAATAATAAAATAATAAATAAAAAGTAATTAAAAATTATATACATTTTATGAGTTTTGCATTAAAAGTGAGCATCGCAGTCAGGATGCAAAGACTTTAGTAAGAGTAGCATAAGTAAGATTTCAGTTTGGTAATGGTTTTTATTTAAAATTAATCATGTATCTGTTAGTAAACTACACAACATAACTTGTACCTAACTAAAAAGCACCAACATTAAAATTCAAAAGTTATTTAAAATGCCAATTTTTATATATCTTACAAATAACATTATAAAAACAATAATCCACAAGTAATAGATTAGTTTTTCAAATTTAAAACAAAATAATTTTGTGATTATAAAATAGCATTTAAGTATATTATTTATTGGAATAATTTTAAACTAAACAATTTTTAGATAAATAGTTACAAACAAATATAAAGTTGATCTTGAATTTAGATTACATTTGTTTAGACTGTTTAGAGTATTTAACCTAGGTTATCTTTAAGGTGTGATAAATAAAACAATTATTATAATAATAATTTTTATAAGTTAACAATTAAAACTATTTTATAACAACTTTTCAATTTATTTTATATTTATTGAAAATAATAAGCAATTAATCAACTATGTGTATTTAATATGATGATAAAAACATTTTTTAGTAGAAAAAAAAACTTTTGGCAAGAAGTGGTAGAACCCTATGTACTGCATATGCCTCTTTTAAGTAATACAGAACAAAACAAATGTTAGGTACTAGAGCTTTTAATTTTAAAAATGAAATTAATTAATTAATTACTCCTAACAAATACAAACAAATATTTTTTTATCAAGAATTAATAAAATTATAGTTATAGAAGACATACACTCTAATTTGACGAATGGCACCATATTTTCCAAAAATATCATACATTTCTTCAGCTGTTATTTTATAAGGTAAGTTTCTTATATAAAGAACTCTATTAATTTCTGGAGGCAATCGAACCTGAAATAAATAATTAAAACAAATCATTAAACAAAAATTCTATACAATAATAAACAAAAAATATTTTAAAGCTTGAAACTATGTAATTAATTTTACTCACATTAGTTTTCCTTTGCATACTAGCGAGAGCCATTTTTATTTTTTAATATATACTACACAAAATCAAAGATCCAAAATTAATATTTTATTATATACTATAAAGTATAAATTGTATTTTATTATTTGGAAAAAAGTAAACAATAGTATTGATATTATTCAGTATTTTCAGCTTAAAATTATTAATTAGTACTATCACAATTCACAATTCACATTTTTACAATCCAAACAGAAAGATAAACAAACATGAATACAGAAAAAAGATAAGATATTATAATTTAATTTTAATAACAACAGTGTAGCCAACAAAAACAAACGAATCGTGCTAAAGCCGGGTTTTCACAAAAAATCAACATAACTTTAAAAAAATGGTCTAAATTCCAAATGGCTAAGTAAAAAAAGAAACTACGTTATTATTTAAGATATTATTCACTGTGGTTGTTACACTTTTATTTAATTTTTACTTAGCACGCGCAACGATTGTTACACTGACTTTAAGTAAGAAGTAATAACGAATAACTAATAAGTATTCATAGTTTACAAGTCTTTATTTTTGTTGATAAAATTTGTTATTGAATTAAGTACTCTTAAATATTTGAAGATAATGCGCTACTGACATTTTGTGACCGCTTACACATTATTATGTTCATAAATAACAAAAAAAGTGATCTAGTGGCTGGTGCGAGGTATTCTAATGAGTAATGGCTAATTACCAATAAATGATGTAAAATATAATTAGGAAAAAAACAATGGTGATAAATAAACAGCTTTATATTAATATGCACTGAAAACAAAAGTTGTAATGATAAAACATATAATCCATTGTCCGTAATGCAATAATAATAATAATAAGGTATTTTAAATAATAATAAAATTATAACATACGGCATGGTAAAATTTAGATCTATCAATTAATTAATTTTATTGACAAAAAAATGTGGAACGCTTCACGATTTTGCGTGTCATCCTTGCGCAGGGGCCATGCTAATCTTCTCTGTATCGTTCCAATTTTAGTATATGTACTGCCGAAGCAAGTACGATAGAAGAAGTGCTAAATACTCTATATATATGATCCAATTTCTATACAACGTCACTTGTGAGAGTCAGTACCATTTATTCGAAATATAACGATTAATTATCAAATGAAATAAAAGCGTCAATAGATAGAGCTAGTTGTCCGTTTACATTCACTATAAATATGCTTCAGTCATTTATTATGAAAATAATCAATGACTTCAATGTATTATGATAAATGATAATATTATTTTTTTATTTAATTCGTATTCTTAATAATAATATATCTACAAAATCTCGAATAGCTTGTAGTACAAGTCTTGTACTAATATACAACTATGCTTGAGTCTAGTCAGCGACAGTAAAATATATAACTATAAAATAATTTATTCATCAAAATAAAAACCATAATCTAATAATTGTTTATTTTTACATAAATTTTAAAACATAGTGAATTAAATTACAAATGAATTGTGAATGTCCGTTTTGATAAATTATATTTAGACTGTTTAGTATATGAGTTTATATTAAGAATAAATTATGCTATAATAATTTGTTTTAAAAATTTATTGATTCTAAATATTACTAGTATTTAATATAATCATTAGTGTTAATATGTACAGTTTACACTATACGTTTATACGTCTATAAAATCTATAATCAATAAAGGCAATACAACGCATATACAGTATACTTATAATGTAGACGGTATAGTTATTAAATTATACCTATTACTTTTGCACTAAAATTTAAACTTGTAACTCATATATCATATAAATATTAAAACTTTAAACATATAGTAGATATTATATATTATACTAGATATATCGATTATAATATCACATAATAACAAAATAAATAATAAATAGTTATAAAGGTAGTAGGTACCTATATAAAAAAAAAAATAACCAATATTAATAATATACCCAGTGTTTATAGTATAATTTATTATTATAATTTTAAAATAATAATGGAAAACATAAATAATAAAGGTTGTTGGAGGAGTATAAAGCGGGGTGGACGAGTGTGTCCTCCATGCCAGGACACTCCGGGTTAAAAAAAAAATATTCCAATGTATTTTATGTATTCGTACCTATTTTACTCATGTATTTTAAAATATTCATATAAAAACTGTAAAACTGAAATTTATTTTATTAGATTCTATACGTTTCGATGTATATTTTTAAGCTAAGTTTATAGTTCATTCGAAATATCCAGAACTTATTCGAATTTTACTATATAGATCATTAAGTAATATCATTGATTATAGAATATACTAGTATATTCTATAATCAATGGTAATATTTTGGATACCTCCAGAAAAAATCACCCAAAATACACAATTGACCTCTCTAATATTGGAAGTAAAGAAAAAGAAAATTTTAAATTAAATTATCTAACAAATATAATTGAATAGTTACCCGCTTATTATTTTAATATTTTTTTGTACTTTTTCATAAAGTATAAAATTTATATTAAAAATAATGTTGTTTAATTACATAAATAAATAATATTTATCATCAATACCTCGCTTATCCGGTATGGTCTAGTGGCTAGGATACCTGGCTCTCACCCAGGAGGCTCGGGTTCGATTCCCGGTACCGGAATACTTTTTCCCATTTTAATATAGCAATTTATCATTGTTACGTTTTTTATGTACAATCCATTATTTAATATTCACGCTAATTACAATTTTATATAACATCGTTTTACATCAAACAAAGCCTTTTAAAAAAAATAATTTGATGATATTATTGGACTCATTAGTCGTTATCTACTATCTTGTTACGCTGAAATGCACAATAAAAAGATTTTTAACAAGGTTGTACAAGTTGGACTGGAAGGACTGTTGGACACTATAGAGTTTAATATTTAAATTGATTTTTTTATCAATAAATTTTTATTTTTAAATTTATTATTTATGGAAATATAAATTATGATAAAAACAAATTAGATAATTTATTATTCTGATCTAAGTACAATCATTGATTATAGAATAGACTTTTATAACCATTAATTATTGGTACAACCAATCTGTTTGCAACTTATAAATTGTGTATAAGTGTCACGCTTGTGGTATGTTAAATATATTGCTGTGGAGTTTTTTACATATTTTTATTTTGTACATATATAGTTCGTTTAAGAAACTTAACTAAATTTATTAGTTATTGAACATTAATGATAAAATCAGAAATAAGAAGGCTTATTAAATGAAAAACAAGTAATTTTTATTTATCTTGGAAACTACTTTTAGTGCTCCAGGTGTTCTTTTTTTTCTTTTTAATTTTATTTATGTTAAGTCCAGTAGTCCACATATTTCAGCGTGAAATTGATGATTACCCGTCGTTTTGTGAACATACGAGAATCTTGCAACGACGATCGTTTATGGTTTGCCGGATAGTAAGTGGATATTCTGAGTGGCTAATTTTTTATTATCTTGTTAAATTATTACATCATGTAACTCAATGAGTTTCTATCTTGTGTAATTGCGTAACTTTTATACTCGAGCATTATAAGTAGGTACCCATGTCAAAAATAGTAATAAAAAACTCCGTATAATTCTTCAAAATACGATTTAAACATAATTTTTTAATATTTAAAACATAGTGACATGATGATTTAATATGTGATTCTCAGAAGAATGATAGAATTTTGAAGACGATATTAAAACCGAGCAAGCTGTTCAGCTGTTGTGCAGTTTGATAGTTCTAATAAGAATCGAACTGTCTCGTTATTGATTAACTGTAAGTACTGTTGTAATTAGAACTCAATAATAAACCATCGTACCTAATATCTAAACTAAAAATGATTCTGAATAGTCTATTTGCAGGTCGTCAGTCCGACAGTACATGTTCTATAATTCATATTTTAAGAATATTTGATTATGTATTAATATTGCTATAATATCTAGTATACCATGGAGACAATTTTCAATTCATCATTTACTTTCAAAAGAGTTAATAGTTATTTGTTCTTTTTTTCATCTATTCCTATCGTATAGATAAATGTGGCGAACACATCAAGCAAAAATGAAAAACCTGATAGATTATGTATGCCTAATAAAGCAAATGGTCACTGAAATGTTAAACGAGTTACACTCATCTGCAGATTTCCTAAAGGTGTAGACGTTGATGATGGTACCTTTTATGTAGCATATGATGACAGAGTTCATTGATCGACTAAGCGGAAATTGATTCTTGTACTTGCCGGTCGAACCTCCATCGACAGTTATAGAGGCCCACCATAGTGATTCTAGTGGGACAGCCGCAGAAATGATGGTACTCAAACCTACAATTAAGAACAATAAGAACGATATTATGGAGGAGACGTTCGTTATTTCCTTCGATGCCGACGCGACGGTGCCATTTTTGTCTCCGCGCACGTACAACTGCAATAGAATAGACGCTTATTCTTGTGGGTCCTCTGGAGTGGTTTCAGAAGGTCTTCAGGACCGAATGTTGTGGTTGTACGATGCCGTGCTACCAAGATGGCGAGATCGGGGTTAGAAGAGGTTAAGTCGTGCTTGACGGATATTCGGATAAGTAGACATAAAAAGGGGGTGGTGACCGAGAGTACACAATCGTGTAAGGCAGTATGTTATCTATATCACGTTTATCGGTTTACCGAGGTCGTGATAGCTGTTAGATGGACGCGTTGTGGCGGACATCGGTTGCGTTGAAGAATGACATTTGTATTAAGACCGCCCGACTGGTTTGTCGACTCTGGTCGTGGGCGCGACGAACGCAAGGATCGGATAGCTCCATTACATCAACCGGATGTTGGGCATGGACACGGCTCACCGGTGTCCGTGGATGGCAGTGACTGCGGTGGCTACAAAAGCAGTGAAGCAAATTCGGGAATCCACAATATTATGTAATCGCAATGCTGCGACCGGTCGCAGCGTTTCCGGGCACATCGGCAGCCGATCGTTCGGACTCGACTGGCTGAGTATACCGGAACGAAAACGACGTATCGAATACGAACGAAAGCACTGGTTTATCGAATTTTCGTCCGAATATCCCGTCAGCCGCTATCCGTTCCAGCCGTTGCACTCGCTCAAGTCTCCGTAATCCGCGTTCGCCATCTCTATCATC